TGGTTTCTATGATTACACTGGGACGAGCCCAAGGTAGGTATCTAACCTTGATTCTTGGGATAAATTAATGGTAAGGGTAAAAGTATTAGGGAGGCAACCATTTTACTACATTCAAAGGTTTGATGCTTTCTTTTTTTTCTTTAATCTTTATACAAATGATCATCATTTGGTCGGTTTGAAGATTATACTTGTAACGACTGTAGAAATTGAGTAATAATGCAATCCATCACAATTCCTCGAAAGCATCACCTTCACAACGATGATGATGATACACAATGTTTGTGAAGGAGGTGACGGTGGATAATGAACATGATGATGACAACGAAATGCAGGTGTGATAATGATGAGGAGGAGGGAAGGGAGGAGGATAATGATGAGAATGATGATGATAGTAATGAATTTGATGATGATGATGATGATGATGATGATGATGATGACGCTGATGTTTAAGTTTATGTTGATGACGACGGAGACATTGATGGTGATGCTGATGAATAGATGAAGACATCATAATATTTCACATCTTGGTTATCCTTATCCATTGCTATGTATCCATTCTCAGTTTAGATGCAGAATCAAATAATACAATACGGTTCGTTTCAGGCAAATGTTTATCTAGAAATCTAAAGTTATGTTTTCAAATACAGTGAAGAGTCCCCATTGTAATCGTTTTTACTCTTAATTTTATGTTGTAGGCTAGAAATGAGAGTATTACTCTTGGACTTTACTATAATCAGTAACTATCTCAGTTATGTACTTTTCGTATCTAGGAAATAATTCACCTTGAAAAGTAGAAAGATTTTTATGAAAATTATATGAGAGGCATTCATAATCATTCGTAATCATTAACATGGTTTTTATTCGCTAATATATCCAGTATTTATTGTTTTCTAAAATATCTCTTTTATCATTTTCATTTCGATAAACTATACCTCATTTTCAAAGCTGAATTTGTTATGTATATAGTGGTAAATAATTCTCATTCATGAATAAGCATGAAGATAGCTAGATCATGTAATTTAAGAAAATGAAACAAGCCATAACTAAAAGAAAATCACATGATGTTATAGATGTTTATCATTTTGTCATCATCAAAATGTATCAATATTTTGTATCGTATGTTCTTTGTAAACTTAGTCTGTGCCTTTACTTTACATGTGAGCAAACCAAATATCCATGTTAAACGTACATTGGACAAGTAAATACATCAAATTGAATTGAATTGAATTGATTTGTAGCCCTTGGATGCCCCTTGAGTAAGAAGAGGTAATCATTGAATATGTGTCGAAGAGAATGATGAATTGTTGGACCTGTTTCATAACTTTCTACTTATGAACAAAAACTTTCACATCTCCGTATCTAATTTTGCTCAAAGCTATATGTAATAATTTCAGTAGCTTTTAACTGTTACTCACCTTGTTATAGATATCGAATTTTATGAAATGTTGGCTTAGGTGAAAGTGAAAAATGATTTGTGAGCTTACTCATTTTGCTATAATTATGTCACCTTGTAAGAATATCACAGAAGAATGTCCACTGAAGGGAATGCTTTAAACGGCTTCGCATTCGAATTATGATAGCAAAAATGTGAATGTTTTAATCAAACTTTCATGATCTATGTCTGTTCGGTCCCGCGTGTAAATTTTTGAGTGCAGATCTTGGGACATTCAGCAAGATTTCCCAATTTCTCATCATTTGTATTATATTTCAAAACCGCACAGTAATAATATTGTGACGGTTCTAGGGAAAAATCGGGGAATCGAGGGGGGTGGTTAATAGTAATCCACCATTGTCCCCAAATCATCCCCATCGCTACATAAATTTTCTCCTGCTACCATTATAGCGAATTCTATCAATATAGGGAATACAAGTAAAACAGGTCTGGAAAGAAGACTACATTAATAACCACTTTTATGTCAGCCTCTTATACCATGAATTACTTCATAATTCTGACGGTTGCTGCCACCACCTAGTCTTTAATCTGGAGCGCTAGGATCTCCAAAACAACACGGTTTGTGTGTTTACATTCACTCTGTAATGTTGTTGTTGTTGTGTTTTGAGTTATTGGCGATTAGTCAGTGATTTGACTATTGTCGCCAAATTACTTTACGGCACGTGTTATATCTCTCAATTTTGGATTTTTTTAAAAATACATTTATTTCGTTTTATATTTATCTATCTTTTAAGATAGTATCGTAAAATAATATCGTAAGCAAAACATTCATGGGCTTTGTTAGTGTTTCTTAACAGTACGTGCAGATTATTTGTTATATCACATACACACCATACATAAATATGTATATAAGATAGCACCTACACAAGCTTCTATATTCAGTAATCTTATCATACCTTTTATCATTGTTGTTACTTTTTCTTATTTTATTTTCTTAATACATTATGTTATTATATTTTTAATGTACTGAGTGTAATTTAACATATTTATAATATCGTATTATGTTTTACTGTTCTTATTTTATTTTCTTATTACATTATGATTGTTATTATATTTTTAATGTACTGAGTGTAATTTAGCATATTTATAATATTGTATTATGTTTTACTGTTCTTATTTTATTTTCTTATTACATTATGTTATTATATTTTTAATGTACTGAGTGTAATTTAACATATTTATAATATCGTATAATGTTTTACTATTCTTATTTTATTTTCTTATTACATTATGTTATTATATTTTTAATGTACTGAGTGTAATTTAACATATTTATAATATTGTATTATGTTTTACTGTTCTTATTTTATTTTCTTATTACATTATGTTATTATATTTTTAATGTACTGAGTGTAATTTAGCATATTTATAATATTGTATTATATTTTACTGTTCATCAAGGGAGGTATTACTTCCTGATAGGGAACCGTTTCGTTCTGAGAAAGAACCGTACAATAGCTTTTTGTATACTGGACTCACTCTTTTTTAAGTATTCCATAATTTTTTCAGGTTGGGATTCGTTAATTTCTGTTAGAAACATAGCCCTTTCTATAATATAGTTAGGGCAATGTACTAAAAAATGTTTTACAGTCTCTATTTCACTGGGGCATCTATTACAGAAACCAGTAGCATGAATTCCCAATCTGAGGAGATCCTGGTTAAGTCCAAGGACTCCAAAGCGGAGTCGATGTATTATTGTTGAATGTTGTCTCTCTAATGAGCATATATATGGTTTATTAACATCTTTTTGATATGTTTTCAAATACGAGTTGGTTTTGTTCCACCTTTCTTGCCAAAGGAGTTTGGAACTTGTAGTAATTAAGCTTTTCATTTCTGACATATTTAGGTTATTATTGACTTCTATTTTCTTTACTAATGCGGCCTTTGCGTGGAAATCCGCCATCTCGTTCCCTTTTATTCCACAATGTCCAGGTATCCACTCTACATATATATCATATATCAGTCAATCCTCACTGTGTCCGGGCCGGGTGAGTTTTCCCGTGTTGAGTCAAATTAAGCCGCAGGCTCCAATGATACTATGGTGGCCCTGAAGGGACATCGCGAATAGACTAAATCGTGAAAAATATGCGATAAAATTGACGATATCGTCAATTTCATCGCATATTTTTCACGAAGAAATTCACGAAATTGACGATATCGTAAACTTTATCGTGAACTTTTCACGATGAAATTGACGATATCGTGAATTTTATCGTGAAAAGTTCACGATATAAAGTTCACGATATCGTCAATTTTATCGTGTACTCTATCGTGTACTCTATCGTGTACTCTCCTGACGGGCGCTTCGTAAACAAAACCAGCCCTAGCTGGGGGAGACAGAGAGAAGGAAAAAAGGGAAGGGGAAAGAGAAGATAAAAGGAAAGAAAGAATAATAAGAAGAAAAGAGGGAAACGGGGGGGGCGAAGGGCTCTTGCCTCCTCCTCACTCCCCCCCCCCCCCCTCCCCGCCAAAAAATAAATCAGAGAGAGAGAGAGAAGGGAAAGGGAAAGGGAAAGAGAAGATAAAAGGAAAGAAAGAAGAGGAAGAAGAAGAAAAGAGGAAAACGGGGGAAGGGCGAAGGACTCTTGCCCCCCCCCCCCTCCCCCCCCCCCCCGCCAAAAAATAAATCAGAGAGAGAGAGAGAGAGAGAAGGGAAAGGGAAAGGGAAAGAGAAGATAAAAGGAAAGAAAGAAGAGGAAGAAGAAGAAAAGAGGGAAACGGGGGCAAAGGGCTTTTGCCTCGTCCCCCCGCCCCCGCCAAAAAATAAATAAGAGAGAGAGAGAGAAGGAAAGGGAAAGAGAAGAAAGAAAGAGAAAAACGAAAAAGAGGGAGAATAGGAAAGAAAGGAAAAGAAAGAAAAGAAAGGAGGCAAGAGCCCTTCGCCCCTGTTTCCCTCTTTTCTTATTCTTTTTCCTCTTCTTTCTTTCCTTTTATATTTTCTTTCCCTCTCCCTTCTCTTTCCCTTTATGGCGGGAGGGGAGAGGGGGAGGTAAGAGCCTTTCGCCCTTCCCCCGTTTCCCTCTTTCCTTCTTCCTCTTCTTTCTTTCCTTTTATATTTTCTTTCCCTTTCCCTTTCCCTTCTCTCTCTCCTTATTTATTTTTTGGCGGGGGGGGGGGGGAGTGAGGAGGAGGCAAGAGCCCTTCGCCCCCCCCCCGTTTCCCTCTTTTCTTCTTATTATTCTTTCTTTCCTTTTATCTTCTCTTTCCCTTTCCCTTTTTTCCTTTTCTCTGTCTCCCCCAGCTAGGGCTGGTTTTGTTTACGAAGCGCCCGTCAGGAGAGTACACGATAGAGTACACGATAGAGTACACGATAAAATTGACGATATCGTGAACTTTATATCGTAAACTTTTCACGATAAAATTCACGATATCGTCAATTTCATCGTGAAAAGTTCACGATAAAGTTCACGATATCGTCAATTTCGTGAATTTCTTCGTGAAAAATATGCGATAAAATTTACGATATCGTGAATTTTATCGCATATTTTTCACGATTTAGTCTATTCGCGATGTCCCTTCAGGGCCACCATATGATACACTCTCACTTACATACACAGATTCCTAAAAAACCGGACAATGCGTCCTTCTACTAGTATACGCTTAAAGTCATTGGGACGTATGGCAATTGCTTCCTTTTGGGACGCACTGTCGATTGATTCATGTCTCGTCCTTTTCCAATCTGTCTCTCGTCACGCAGTGCAGGACACGTTGTCTCGCTCTCTGGGAAAAACCTTATTGATTTGGCCATTTCCCCTCAAGTTAGCTTCTAGAGTCTCAAACCACTTCACAATATCTTCCATTCTTTTATAGGTGAGTGTTATTCTCACCCCTAATACCGTAATTAAGTATCATTAAGTAGGAACTAATCATGTTTTTGTCTCTCTAACAAGCCTCACAACACCATTTAGACCATAATCATGTCCCATACATTCGTTTCTGTGTATCAAGTCTTCCACTCGGTCACTCACTAAATAACAAAAATAGTATCCTATTCCCTTTCACACTTCCGAGCGATTTATAAGGCACGATGACCTGAGTCCGTTTGTCTGAAATATACAGACAAAGTCTTTGTGTTCCTGTTTAGTAATAAATCCTACAGTAGTTCCAAATCTACTATAGATTTCGTACACTAGAGACTAGACTATCAACAATGCATACTTAATTTACTAGGCAAACCAGACTAACAAGATTTATAACTTGAATCAATCTAAAGTCGAATAAAGAATTGATTATTCAATAAGCCATTTCTAGGCAACTGTTCAACAATATAAGAACCGTAAAACTCTCAACAAGAATAGAAATACTTCCATGAACTTATGATTGCTACTAGATTATGTACATTAATTAATTATTGTAATAAATGTTTACTGCTTGTATAATTTATACAGTATTTCCTAGTTTTATATTTACAAGATGTCAACACTTAATTACCTAGTGTAGACTGCATGCTATTTAAATAATGTACATGTGTAGACTTACTGAACTTAGATAGAGGCTGTACTAACGTACTTTACCAACCACAATGGCTGTTAGACCAATGTTAACATTTCTTTCCAGCTCCTATTCCAAGTAATTCTATTCTGAACTGACTAAGGGCCTACTTCAGTTACTCCTACCCCCTTGACACACTATCTACCTGCGCTTAACACCTTCTGGCCAGCAATGTGTCCCTTTATCGTCCCCATTCTATAAGAATGAAACATTAAAACCTATTCACCCTTCCAACTAGGCTTTTCAACAGTCTTTTCACTCCTTTATTATGTAAACAAGCTAACGCACTGTGTCGGTTAAGCATTGTACATCTATAAATCCATCATCTCCGTTATAATCTAGCCTCGAGTTATTAGCTCCCAGTTATAACTTACACCAGAATATACTTGGATAAGAACTAACTTTCTAAATTCAAAGATAACCGGCAATCCATTGAATTCGTCCCTTACTGTCTTAAGTTCGCACCTCTTAATTATGTAGTTAAGTAATAATTGCCTGATTTTAGATAGGCTCGTAATATGCAGCTAATTAATTAATTAGCTACGAGTGTACATATTCAACTGTCCACTATTCAATGTCATTCTATACATGTCATGCTATATACAAGTAATGAGTACAATTCAAAGGAGTAAGAACGGGGGAAGGGATAGAAAGAAGAGACACTGTGTCCATGTCCAAATCTAAGGACACTGTGTCCTCCAAGACAAGCCCATGCATTGTCTATACATATAACGTTCTATGTGTCCATTCCAGGTCCAAGGACACACTGTCTCGTCCAAGACAGGACGAAGAAGGAGAGAAGGGGGGGGGGGAAGAAGAATTACACTCAACTGTAAACTGTTATATATTCAATAAATAAAATGTTAAATTATAGATATACGACAAAGTTGTTTCTCCAACTGTCTCATTTATATACACTTTCTATACAATTTGTCTCTACTCCTAATCTACAGAATATCACGCCTTCTAGACGGAATACATGTATCATAAATTTAAGCGTTATCTATATACAATATCAAGTTCATTTAAACATCATTAAAAGATCTACGGAGTATCACGCCCTCTAGACGAAATACATGTATTATAAATTTAGGCGTTATACAATATGAAATGATATGAATTAAACTACAGAGGCACTGGTGACTTTATGGCCTTAATTAGGTCACAAAGACCCGAAGCCTTCCTTTCCAAATATTCATGGTCTATGGAGAAATCAAGACAACAATACAATGTAATATTTCTTATCAAACATAGTTAAACTGGCCACAGAAACAAAACTAGAAATGGCTAGACTTGAGATATGACCGCATTTGGGACAGATTGTCAGTCTGCGCAACGACCTGAATCACACTCAATTTTTATGTGTCCAAATTAATCAATTAGGACACCAAAGAGCAAAATCTCTCTCTCAAAAATAGATTGACCATTTCCAGATTTATTCCTTAACAATGGCAATATTATCTTCACAAAGAAGAAGATAATCACACAAAATAGACATTTCACATAATAAAAACATCTTTCATATATTTGTATGATGATATCTCAATAATAATTCAACTATAATCCCATGTCAATATTCAGATATTTATGAGACACTGTGTCCCTTAAACGATAATGGGACGTTCCGTCCCTCTAAAAATAGGACGCACGGACCGTCCGAGACAAGTTCACAAGGACGCTTCATCCATTCACTACTGGACATTCTGTCTTGTTTCTTTCTATCCAAACTATAAAAAATATAGATGCCTATTTCCAACTTAATATATCACCATCAAAAATACTTCAAAAATTCTCTTCATATACACCATTCTGACCGCATTGATCCGTAGAACAATAAAATATCCCTCTCACTCTATCATTTTAGAACAATCCTAGGTAAATTTGCATAAGTAAACATTGTATGAGTCACTATTTATATTCACCTTTCGCGTAATACGGTAGCCTGCAAAAACTGTCAGTCGCGTAATAGCCTGCAAAAACTGTCAGTCACGTACCTGGGTGACCCAGTAACCCACGCGCGGACTATTTATACTCCTTGGGTCGCGCATGCAAAAGAAAGCTGTACGCGCATATACAATCATATAATTGGCTGCGCACCTTGGATCGCGCCTTAAACTAATGAATTATACATGAATATTCAGTTATCGATCAATAGTAGAATAAATTAAGCACTGTTTATCAACAAGAGCACATGCTACTTGTAAAACTAGTCGCTCGTTCAGAGCAAATCCATTAAAAACAAGTATGTCACAAATAAATAACGATTATAAAAGACATTTTATATAATATTCACAAGTATTGAATATATAAAGAGAAAGAGTAAGAAAGAGATAGATAATTTTCATATATCCGTCACACTATATAATGTACATACTGTCTCTATAAAGCGCTTCACAGAAATATCATTACCCTGGTCATCGGATTTAGGCTTGTCCACACACAATGTATGCACATTCTCCACTCCCTGGAGAGTATTCCAGCCAGGCGTCATTTTACAGACGCTCACAATGCTGTGTAAACTACATTCACTTTCGCATCCTACCATATACCCATTTAACACCTGGGTAGCGACTGGCAAATGTAGATTAACATCTTGCCAAGGACGTTAGTACCGGGCTGGGATTTCAAACCCTATACCTTGTAATCTGCTGTCGGGTGACTTATCCACTAGACCACAACACTTCTACAGTATACACCTATTCTTATATGTAGTACATAAACAACCTTTCCCAATAACTTCCCGACTGTTTATTTTACAACGTAATCCCTTGATCAGAAATAAATTCAGTTTATGAATTGCCATGATCCACCAACCACACCAAACCTTCATCATTACTACCATGGCAACATACAGTATGAGCAAACTCCTCAAGGAGTCAAACAGACGAAAAGACGATCCCTTCACAAAACCATTTAATAACAAGAGCAGCCCCATCATATATTATTGTAATGATCTCACTAATTTGATTTACACCCCCAATACATTATTGAAATAGTTTATTGTGTCGTTTTCTGGCTAGGATGCGCCTAATGAAATGAAATGTTCCGCATCGACAACTACAGGACGATAGGCATTCATACTGAGAAAAGATGATTAAAAACGAAAAGTATTATTAATACCCATATGCTTTTTAATACGTTACTGCCAACATCGATGCCAAGTTGGTAATATTAATAAATGGACCATTTTTGTAATGTAGTCAAATTTACGAATAATTGTATTTCACTAGTCAGAATGCGAATGGCAAATATTCTGTGTTGTTGGGTAGAACAAGACATAATGTTTGTCCCACCTAGCAACAAGTAATGTATGCAATTCGGATTCCGCCTAGTGAAATACAATAATTTATGACGCTCGAATGCAATAATTTGTGACGAGACACTTACAAAGATTCATGATTAAATTTCAAAGCCGATTTACTATTGGATTGGTTCCAACCCATATTTCATATGCAATTTACATCTAAAATAACCATTAATGATGATAATTTTAACCTAAAGAATACAATGCCGAGAATGACTGGAGCATCAGTTAACATTTAAAAATGTGTTGCAACTACCCGACTATTTAGGAAGTATGACCGAGTATGACGCGCCAAAAATCCTATAAAATATCCTTGAGGCTATCCTTTTCAATGAAAATTGATGTCAAAATTATAACAATATAATATCACAAGCTGAATACAAAATGAGTAGAGTATTTAGTAGTGCCTATACAAAAAGGAGTAGGTGTGTATCAGGGCAACACCCTAGCTCCACCGCATTCAAAATGAAGGTTCCAACCTTTGACGCTTGTCAGACCTTCACAACCAGATAAAGCAAGCGTACAAATGATTATTTTTTAATTTTTTTGCAGATGTTTCTGCATTTATTGATAAATCAAATATAAAACATTCAAATAACAATAATAGTATATAATATAAATTTTACATAAAGAGTGACAACTTAAATACACACAATTAGAAAATGTATAATTGAAAGTTTGAAAGTATTGAGGTATTAAAGTAAAAATAATCAAGATAAATGCAGAGGCCAACTATCATAAGCAAGAATGCTTGAGTCGATAGCATAAATGCATTATTTATCTATTCAAAAGGATCAAGGGGGAAACAAATTGTCGTATCAAAAAGATATGGAGTGTATTACAGTCTTTTTTGTAAATACTGTATTTATACTATTATTAAAGATAATAATATCAACAATAATAATAATAATTTAATTATTGGAATATGAATAAATAATGGTAATAATAATAATGATAGTGGTAATAATGATAATGGTAATAAATATAATAATGATAGTATTAATTTTAAAAAATACTACTACTAATAATAATTGATAATATTAATAATAATGATAATAATCAGTTTTGTATTGTCTAATCACCACAGCGAACCTAGAAATGAAAACAGTTATAACTCCGGGTTATAATACAACGGCAACCCGTACGGCCTGTACAGATAGGGATACGCCCTAAGGTGACTTCGCAAGTATCTCACAATTTCAGGGGCGTACGGCCACGGTATCCTAGCCGTAGAGCAAATGTGAACTAGACATTATCAGTAACATGTTAAGTTAACACCATAATACTCATTTTACTGGAATTAAGACACATTCATTGATGTTGTTTCTAATTCCAACAGTTCTTTTATTAGACAATCTCATCAGAATATTACTCGATATTGATGTAAATATGCTTTGATTTTGCTAATTTTAATCTTGCCTGTTAGAATACTTTTTAAGCTCGAATATTTGGAATTCGTGATATTTGAATATTGTAACTTGAGTTGGAGGGCACATTAAATATGTTAAGCACGCGGTGACATACATGTAGTACATTTTCATCAGGTATTCATGTAAAAGTATATAGTAAAATCATTCACGGCGTTTGTTGAATAAGACGTTCTGATGCGTGCTTATGAGAGAAAACCAGTCGAATATGCCAAACATTTGCTACATCAAATTGTATTCATAATTGTTAATCAAGGTTGTTCTTGACAACCTGAAAGCTTTTCCCAAGGCTTTTCCGACATAGCAACAAGTGATATATGCAGAGTGGATTTCCAAGTATTGTAGTTCATTCATTAATAACAGGTTAATAGAATAAATTGTCACTAGACCCCTTGAAAAGGGGTCTTCTTCAGGGGAAAGTCCTATTGAAGAGGTTTGCTGTAAATAACACAAATATTTGTATGATACAAGGAACTTTCATTGGTTGGGGTTTTCACAACCTCTAGTCCGTTTAAGCAGCAACCAACTTCAGTATTTAGTAGGCACTGGTTTTCGCATCTGTTAATAAAAGAATGCCTCCGAAACATTAAAGATGGTATAGATGCTTAAAAAGACTACAATTCGCATATATACATTGGTATTGAACAAAGCGCTAATGCCATTTTAAATGATTTCCTTGAACTCCTTATTTCTTGTTACAGTGTGTCCGACGCCTCCATGTGCTGACGATCCTTGCTTGAATGGAGGCGAGTGTAGACAATCTGCAGCATGTCAATACACATGTACATGCCTACCAGGTTTCTCAGGACCTAACTGTGTTGATGGTAAGTTCATTCTTTGGCTTGATCAGGGCCCCGTTGCACAAAACTTACCAATGATGGTAACTTTGGCGAATACCATGGTAACATGGCTCAACAGCCAATCAAAATCAAGGTTTCCATGGGAGTTACCATTGATGGCAAAGTTACTATCAATGGTAAGTTTTGTGTAACGGGGGCCCTGAGTGGCGGAGTTTCAGCGACACAGGGCATGTGTTCCAATGAAATATAATGACGGAAAATAGAAAAAGGAAACCAAAAGGAGATGGCCTTAGTAATTCATATGTCATCCACTAATTATTACCTGTTACTGCTAGATCAATATTATATAGCAATTAGGTGAGGTTTGGATACACGGTCAATAGATGCACGTTATTCAGTGAATTTGGAATTTAAGAACATACTGATCATTTAATCGAAACGACATAACTCTATAAAGTAGAGGTGATTTTTTTGGATATCATATACCAATCATCAATCGGCCGTTTCCCCATTTCTATTCAACAACTCACTGCTTAAATAGTGTGGAGAGGGTTATGATATTACTGTGGTGTTTTTAGGCTACGCTTTCAGGCCCTTAACATGACATTTTAAAGAAGAGGTCAATCTTCTGATCAATTTATAAAGACAAGCGGGGAAAACTAAGATTATATTTTCATATAGAGAAAAAGAAATTAATGAATAACTACACTAATAGGCATCTTTGGTTGCTGTTATGAGTGATTCTCGATTTACTTTATAATCAATATTTCCTCCAACTTTCCATGTATTATCCTTTTTTTTCTTCAAACAAACAGGAGATGTCTGCTTAAGTAACCCTTGTCAACACGATGGTGACTGCATCTCATTTACCAATCCTAATCTCTATGTGTGCATCTGTAGGGGGAGTTGGAGTGGCATCAATTGCGAAAGTAGTAAGTTCCAATTTGCCTATTTTTCTATTTTAATTATGAGAAGTATAAATGTATAGCTTCCTTCCTAATAATATGGAATTAATGCATATTTGGTAATCACTATGGGAGAGACCTACTTGATTTATTGCTATGAATATAACAGATTTGTCATTTTGTTTTAAAACCATAAAAAAGAAAATTATTAAAATACAAGTTAAAGATGAGTGTTGTATAACTTCGATAAACGAGCAATGCCATTGGCTGATTATAGGTGAGTATGATAAAACCCTGATATAACCAGCAATGCTATAGATATGTGTCGTATTACCCTGATTAAACGAGCTATGTCATCGGTTACTCATAGTTGAGTGTAATATTACCCTGATAAAACGAGGAAAGCCATTGTTTGATTATACATTAGTGTGGTATCACACTGATAAAACGAGGACTGTTATTAATTGATTATAGGTGAGTGTGATAGCAATCCCTGCGTCAATGGAGGGACCTGTCAGATGTCTGATGATGGACGGTTCACTGGATGTACGTGCCCCCTTAGCTTTATAGGAGTGCATTGCTCATCAAGTAAGTGTGCATGCTCCAGTTGCCTCATGCTATGCTTTAGATTAAAGAAATAAAGTAGTCATTATGTTTAAAATAAATATTTGACCTATTTTCCAACTAGATTATAAAGACGTTTCACAGCATTCTTCTTATAAATTATGATGATGTGAAAGGTTAGAAGTCAACTAGTACTATGAGACAAAATTATTTCCGAACTTGGAAGGGGACTTAGATGCCCCCGATAACAGTATACCCTCTAGAATATAATTGGCTACATAGTAATAAATGGGAGAGGGTCGTGTGTCGTTATTTATGCCCGATGCCCTACTTAACAACTGTGTGAAGAAAGAGACAACAAATGATAACGAATGCATGATGAAAAACAGGTTACTATAGAGATTGATAATAGTTATATTTGACCAGTGAAGAATAATTGGTAGGTGATCTACTATATGCTCACACATCCATGTACAATGCACGCTCAGTCATTAGTAATACACTTTCTCTCCCTCGAAACAGTAAACAAACAGGGCCCCCCCCCCCCCACTCAGTGTTATTTAGGGTACGCATATGCTCGTTCCCTCTTTTTGAAAGCACCCCCATCTGAGGACTGCCAACATTTCCGAACCCCCCTTTCGCGGGCTTTTTGCGGGCTTTTCCTGCCTTGGAGACCCCCCTAAATCAGGAAAAATGCTCAATGTACCCCCCTAAATTCTGAATAATTTCTCAGGAGTCCAAAGAGATGAGAGAAAAAAAAAAAAACACCCCCTTTTTAAGGCGCCTTGGATTAATTCGAGTGGCAGTAAACACGCGGCTTATTAACCTGAGAGCGCATGCATCAAAGCTGTCGGAGTTAATCCCGGATGCACGATTTGCCCACGAGAAGACGCATTGTGTGTGTCCGAACACCGTGACGTCCTTTTCAAGCCAGAAAATTGTCAACCCATTGAAAGATTCGTAGTACTTGTTTAGCTCCCTCTGCGGCTAAACTAAGTTATTTAGCTTAGCTTGAGTTCGTGTCTAATTAACACTGTACTCTGTATGTTTGGAATGGATCATTATGCACAATAAGAACACCGTTTAAAAGGGTTGTTTACAAGTAATAAGACCTGTTTAAAAAATTCAACAAGCTGTTGTATTGTAATGAACTGTTAGCATTTTAAACAATTACGTTTTATCTGTGTATATATAACCGAATGAATTTTTAAAAAGTAGATTTTTTTCGGGGAGGTAACTTGGAGGTGTCAATCTAGACACATTATGGGAGCCCCATTCAAATTTAATTCTCCAGCCATTAATGGAAATAAAGACTAGTGTTTTTTTTTTCTCTCTCGCCGGTATAAAAATTGTGTGCTCGCCATAAAGCCAATGTGTTGATTCATGAATTCTTGTTTGGAGACTATGCTATTCCATTGTCATGTAACTCATAGAGGCAAAACACATTTTACGAAAGTTTTTAAATATTATTTTTTCTTTGAACTTGGTATAAAGCCCTCTCCAAAGAAAACATTTTTTCTTGTTCCTGTTCATCTCTTTTCCTCCCTCTCTTCTCCCCACTCTCTCTTTTGTTTCTTCACTGGCCACCCATTATGGGTGCAGTCTGCCTCCCTATCCGCATTCTGCCCCGTGCCCCCCCCCCCCTCCCCCGTACGATAGTGTTTCTCCGGCTTATTATTATCATTATAATCATCATCATATTATTATTATTATCATTATTTAGATGGGGAGGGTGATGAATAATGAAAGGAAAGCAATTAATAAAAATTCGTTTATAATCGTTTAAAAATTTGGGTTGATTTTACTCTTCCATTCAATAAATCTCATTAAAATGTGAAAACTGCACTCATTATACATTTTTTGTCTTCCTCCCTCCCCCAAGTATACTAATGTGTCTCCTGCTTTTTGTTTGTTTGTTAGGTGGGGGTAATGGAAGGAAGGTAACAAATCATTAATTGACATTCGTTTAGAAATTTGCGTTTATTTTGCTCACATCACAAAAAAAATCAAGATAAATCAATACTCTTGCACAAGATTCAAGATTACGATTTATGATACTTTATTTCTCCAATCGTGCAAAATATAAACTAACATTCTCAATTGCTCCCGTTTGTTGTACTTTCATATTATTCATTATAATCGTTTTTTTTGTTCTTCATAAGCATGTCCATTTTTCTTTCACATGAAATTCGGATACTAATGGTACTTCATTGGGAGCAGCGTAATCCGCGCTCGCCCTGAAGAAATCACATGACGGCAGGCACCCTAGTACCTCATAATCCGCCCTTCTATTGTTCGAGTTTATAACCATGACAACGAACTCTACCTTTGGCCAAGTTCATTGTTCCTCTTACGTAACATAGATCTAGATAGGCCTCAGACATAACTCTTTTCGTATATTCATTCTATATACCGGTAGTTCTAAAATGCTTTCAAATATTTTGTGTCGTTTTTGTTTGTATATACTTTGTCAATTTACTTACAAACTATTATTGTCAAATTTGCTAATACTAATAAACTATTACGTTTACCCTATCATCTTCCGCTCTAGAATCCTATCATTTATTTATTTTTTATTTGTTGGGTCCTTTTCACATTTTTCTTGTCTCTCTCTCTTCAAGATTTCTTCTGTTTTTGTAAGGGTATTTATGCTGTTAATTTTTGTATAAATAAAAGAGAAATTGTTATTCTTTCTCTTATAATGTTGTCCACCTTCTTCTATAGGTAACCCTTTTGTGCTTTAGTATAATGTCCGATGTATATTACTTCTGTCAATAACATACAATGAACGTATAATTTTATTTTGATGCAACAGAGATTTTTATTTTTATTTAGGAGTACGTCGAATCGTGATCTCATTTAAAACCTTTGTACACGGCACGCGCGGGTACACCGTACGATGCATGAGCCTTGACCTTATATGGTCATTGACGCCTATTCATGGAACGGGCCTATTATTGAAAAGCTTATATAGTATATAGTACAGTCTCGCTCGACCTAGCGCTCTCAGCTCAGGTCACTCATGCGTACGTATACAGGGTACCAGGTCGGCCTATTATTGAGGAGATTAGCTAGTCTCGATATAGTCCATCCCATTGTTTCAATTCAAGATTGTCGGCTTTATTTACTTATCGTGCTATAAAGTGTCGGAGTTTTACTATTGAGTACAGCTTTTTGATTTTCATGATAGTTGGTTGCACAAATTAGTTCTCAATTCTTTGCTTATAACTGCTCTTTATCTATGTAAGATAGTATCCCCCCCCCCCCCCCCAGCTCTGATTCTTTCTTTAGTTTGTCTCTTTTTTGTTTGATTATATCTTTTTGCTAAAGTATAACGTCAAGTTTATGTTATAATAATTAATCTCAAGGAAGGGATGGTGTCGGCATACAAACAAATGGCGGAATAGACAACATTATGAAAGATGAAGATGGAAAACGACATAGACAGAGAGACAGGCGGACAGAGAGAGAGAGAGAGAGAGAGAGGGGGGGGGGAGGAGATAGAAAGTTGGACGTAGTCTGTACTGTTCTTATTATAGGATTTTCCGGTCAAATTCGCGTGTTTGTCATTCGAATTCATTTACTTTGCATTTAAGTTAGCGCAGATCGGCTTTGCCATGCCAATTATCATTCAATTTTCCAGTTTTTGTATTTGATTTAGGATTTTGGTCGAAGGGTTTCATAGATCTGTCATTCAATTTAGAAACTGCTCAACTAGCATTCAAATTAATATTCACTTGTTGAAGCGTAATTTTTATTATTCAAATTAACACCTGTCATTCGTATTCGTAATATTGTTAGTCAAGTTAGGAATGTTAGGGGTAATAATTGCAACAAACTTTTATAGTTTTTAAATAATGCAGTTAAAATGCATGCTTTGCCATTGGGGTCTATTAGCTGTTATTCCATTTATTTATTTTCAGGACAATGCAGATGGGTGTAGTCAGACATAAAGTAAAGAAGGGGCGAAATCAAGGGATATGGCATTTCTGCACGGACATGTTCATATACCCGGGAAAGGGGGTACCCTCTATCGCCCCTTTTTACTACAGACTCAGAATTTTACAAAAGTAATTCACATCGTCTCTTATACCCAGCACACCCCTCTGTTTTTCTTAAAGAGTTTCATAGTTTACTTGCCCGCAATCAGATCGATGGCTAAAGACATGGCGAAATAATGAATCATGTTCCAATTCTTGACTCTAGTTCCTACCCCAGTCACAATATTGTACCCTTCTTCCATAATTTAATTATGATGAAAGTATGATAAATTTATGATGAAACAAAAGACAAACAACTTCCTTACATGAACATTTACAAATATACTGAGACCATCAGGTCCGTAGATGCAAGTCGTTTTTTTCTTCTTAACAATCAAACTTAAATGCTGATGAATATCAGATAAATCTAATAAGTATAAGTGTATAAATGCAAGAAAATGAAATATGATGAAATACACATGAAAAAACAATCTTGAAAGAAAAAGAATGAGCTATAAAAAGTGTGTAATAAACGAGAAATGTATATTGACCATCAATTTAGGTGCACAAAGTGCTAATTTGAATGCTACAAATTATGAATTAGAATGCTAAAAGTACACCGTCGCGTTGTCAGAAAATCGTGTTGCGCCAAATCGAACGACCAAATAGCGAAAGAAGCACATTGTTCATTAATTTGAATGAAACATACGTAGATTTTAACGAAAATTCCATAGATTTGAAAACTAGAAAAGGGAATATAAACCCGAGATATACCTGACTGCACTAAAACCGTCGAATTTGAACGCAAGACAAATTAATTTGAATGACAAACTCGCGAATTTGGCCCGCGGGAAATCCTATATTATCATATTTTTCTGACTGACCCCCCCCCCCCCCCCCCCCAGCTCAGATTTTTTCTTTCCATTTTGTTGTTTTGTTTGTTTATATCTTTGGGCTAAGGTCCCCGCCCGCTTCCTTTTTGGGGGTCGCCTCCTATTTTTTTTTTTTTCAAGAAAAAAAACATAAAAAACACTGCTAAAATGGATCTATATCTCAGTGATTTAAAAAAATAAAATAAAAAATGTCGTTGGCGATTTTGAAAAATAGCCCGACTGTCAGGGAAAATGTACCGAGCGGCCATTTTAAGCGGCCATTTTGAAGGAAAAAATAAATAAAAAGGGGCCTCCTCCGTCCTATTTTTCGGAAAAACCTACCTCCACAACTTTAATTGTTCCTCTTACGTAACTAAGCTGTGGGATCATGGGCCGAAGACAAAGACATAGCTCTTTTCGCATATTCTATATAGGTCCCAAATACTTGCAGACATTTCTGTGTCGGTTTTATTTGTATGTACTTTGTCAATACATATACTTAAAAACTATAATTGTCAAAACTTGGCAATATATTCAAATAGCACCTTTACATAAGCATGCTCAAAACGCTTTTACATTAGTAAATTAAAAAAAACTAATTATTTTGCTCTCCAAGCAATACTTACAAACTATTTCGTTTTCCCTATATCATCTTTTTAGAGAGCGAAATAGAGAGAAAGAGAGAGAAAGACAGAGAAAGACAGACAGATAGACACATATATATATATAGAGAGAGAGAGAGAGAGAGAGAGAGAGAGAAAGTTGGGTGCATCGTATAGTCTGTGCAGTATTATGCTATTTTGTCTCTCCTTTCACCCCCCCCCCCCCCCCCCCCCCCCCCCCGTTCTGGATTCTTCTTTAGTTTCATGTCCGACATATATTATAACCGTCAATTTAGGCTGATAAACTATTTCATATTAATTTGATGCAACAGAGATTTACATACAAATCTTTTACATTTTATATATTGTGTATTTTTCCCTTAAAATTGAGTATCTAAATAAAAAGAGATGAAGAAGAAGAAGAGGGAGAAGACGAAGAAGAACAGCAAGAAGAAGAACAAGAAGAAGAAGAAAAAGAAGGGGAAATAAGAGTGAGAAGAAGAAAGAAAAGATGCGGAGGAGAAAGAAGAACAAAACAAGAGAGAGACAGAGAGAGAAAGACAGACAGACAGACAGAGAGAGAGAGAGAGAGAGAGGGAGGGAAAGTTGGGCGCATCGGTATATAGTCTGTACTGTATTTATTTATTATTATGCTATGTTGTCTCTCCTTTCACGGTGAGTTTGATAGAGAGGGGAGAGGGGAAGGGAAGGGGGGGGGGTCTAGGAACAAAAGGGAAGCGTCAACCCGTGTATTGTTCGTGACATCCGATCAATAAACTACTGTTTAATGCGCGGAGTTGGGCAAAGTTGAATGTCATTAGGAGCCAGAGCAAATAACACTGAGTTCCTATAGGAAATATATTTATTCAGATGGTCATATCTTAGCCAATCCTTCACATATTCAATTGTTATCAATATTAGGACATTATTTTTGATGCTCCTTCGAAAAATAAAGAAAAAATTGAGAAATTCAAAACATAGATTATTGACGACGTCACACTTCACCACTTATTTTTAATTTGTTTATTACCCGTGTTACTGTGTTAGATTCTTTTCATTTCATATACCTGGGGACAAACCTTTGATAGACTTTTGGTCTTTTTTTGTTCCTCACATTTTTATATAACTTCAAGTTGATTGTGTTATTGAATTCTCTCCCACGATTTTTTTTCTATTGTTTTGTCTTAATTCATCTCCTCAGTACCTCTCTTTTTCCTTCCTCTCGATCACTCCTATTGTTTCATTTCATATTGTTTATTTCTGAACTCTAAATGTAATATCCATTTTCTTCGTTGATAAAATGTTACGTTAAAACGATTGTCTAGTCTGGGTCGTTGGTAAGATTTTTTTTAGGCATGATTGTGCAATCAAAGAAAATAATACTAAGCTGGTAGAATTGTTGTATATACTTTAATGTTTATGTTATTTTTCACTCGTTTCACTCAATCATTGAGTTAATAATGTAAATATGTATTGAAATGATGGAAATAAAAACCTCGCTTGAGGATAAAAGAAAAAATGAAGGCTGCTGCTGTTGTTGTTGTTACTTTTTTTACGGCGCTTTCATTTTGCGCCATTCATTTATAACTATTAAACAATCTTTTCATGATTAGTCAAGCGTATTGCCCATAAGTTTATAAATGTTCCAGAAGTCAAATATTGTTTAAGATAACCCAACACAGATTAATGAAGTTTGGAAACGAAAACGAGACAAATGAAGCTACAACAAAGCGAAACATATTAAAGGAAGAAAAAGCATTAATGTAGGACTTGTATAAATGTGTGATAAATAATTTTTCTTAATAAGTTATCCCTTTGAGGAAACGAATCTGAATTCTGACCATAAATAGCAGGGACCGCGGAGCGTTTTTGAGAGTAGGGGGGGGGGGAGGTCTGAGCATGCGAACAATCTATAAACCCCTTTTTCAGAGCTTTTATGAAACGTGTCTACTAAAAAAAAAAAACTCAGCCACCCGCCTCCTCGGCCCCTGCATAGTTTGAGAGTTACATGGCCTATAGAGGGCGGTCGACTGGTATGAGTTGGAAGCAATATGAGAACGTCGCACACTGTTCTAAAGTCGTTGGACCGTACGCCCTTTTGTGCGGAATTTCACATGGCGTCTTCTCAATAGAGAGTTTCGGACAGTTGTGGCTTTCACGCAAACTAGGCCGCGTTGCATAAAGCCGCGTGATTACTGCCACTCGAATTGATCCAAGGCGCCTAAAGAAATCTCCAGGTGAAAAGTTAGTACACCCCTTTTTTTACAATTCTCGGGCCGGACTTTGTCGCACGAAAAGTACCCCTTTACCGGACATTTTGGTAACACGCATGGGGTCATTCCGACCCCGGAGTGGGGGGGGGGCGGGCCTGGAACTCCGTAACCCCTCTATTAAATCGTTCAGTTCAGTTCAGTTCAGTTCACTTATTCAATACTTTAAAAATAAACAAGGTAAGCAACATATAAAAGTGCCAAAATAATCCTATTACATGAAAATTACATAAACGGGGAAGACAAGAAGGAGTATCTGTATCTTATTAAAAGGCATTTTATAAATGAATTATTATCAATATATTACTAATTATTATGAAACCGTGAAATACAGACAGGCTCACCATGATATATAACCATACTAAGTTACACAATGGTGTTAAAGAATCAATCATAGATTTGATGAAAGATTTGTAATAATTTGTTTTGTGATATTACCAGTAAACTACTGTCAGAATGATCCTTGCAAGAACTCTGGAAATTGCGAATCATTTAAAAACACATTCATATGTACGTGTGCTCTCGGATGGGACGGACTTCAGTGTGAAATACGTGAGTACTTTAACATAAGTCTATAAATGATAATTATAGTTGTAAAATTGAGGAATAATAACATTATCCACTGCCATTCATCTATTATTCAGGTAGATTATTTTCATTCTGGCGAGAGCTACCAAACATTAACTTGCAAATTTAACCACTGCAAGTCATTGATCTTTAAAAGGGCCGAAAAGAAACGGTAACCTCAGCATTAGTTTGTAGTATTTCATAGACTGTAAGATTATTGGACAAAAAATGCAATATCAATATTTTCATCTTCAAATTGGGCAATATTTATTACTTTTTGATATACACTTTATACTTTGGTTCCGATACATCATTTAAAAGAGACTGAAAAGGAAATAATACTATTTATCAAAGCACTCAACATTCCCATTCATGAAGCTTCTTTTTATTTCTAGCTTATCCTTGTGAAACCGATCCATGTTCAGAGTACGGAGCTTGTCATAACAATGGTACCCAGTTTTACTGTCAATGTGACTCGGGATGGATTGGCCAATTATGTGACATAGGTAAAAGAAATTTGTTTTTAAGCAATTTCATAGTTTGTTTAAGAGAACTCTGCGAAAATGAATCCTCTTACGGCAAAGAATGCTAGGAATTACACTTTTCAATGAGATATTACTCGCATGAATAAAACCATAGAACCTAAAGAATTATTTATTCTATATTTTTGTCTTTGATGACGACGATAACGATGATGGCCATGATGATAATCGTCAAAGTTGTATTATTGATAATGATAGTGATACTGGTGATGATGATAATAATAATAACAATAATAATAATAATGATAGTAACAACAAGAATAAAACTGATGATAATAACAAATAGTAACAATAAACATAATAATGATAATAATAACAATAATAATGATAATGATAAGAACGATAAGAAGAAAAAGGAGAACGTGCTGTTTCTCTACAATGCACATCAGTTTATGAATTAACCTCTCCTTATTTGCTTCCAGAGTGATTTGAAATAGGTCCTGCAGAGCACGATGCAAAGAGGAAACCAAATAAAGCCATGATAATGATGAATATGTTACTGTTGAAAAATAGTAATAATAACATTCGACTTGTAATTTTTCTGTAGTTGATACATGTGTAAACGACCCATGCCTGAACGGAGGGGTATGTACTGTCACTGGATCACACTATACATGTAGCTGTGAAGTCGGATATTCGGGAGATATCTGCCAATTTGGTAAGTAGGCGGATTATATTCTCCTAGCCACGAAAATAATAATGTTAATTGTTGCTTGCAAAATATAATCATAAAAATAATAACTATCTATCTAATAAATAACTGGTTGTTCTTCAACTTTGTATATCATGTGCTCTTGACAAGAGGATATTAGGAATCATTAGATCATAAATAGAATAACTGTCACAAGGATTGTGGTTGTCTAAGTGGCGATACACACATATAAAAACAATCAATAAAAGAATGAGTTGTAATATGATAGTGTATCTTTTAATTACACAATACAATGAAATGCAACATAAATTCAAGATATTGAGCGTTGACAAATCCAAAATATGTCAGCTTATAATTTCCTAAGAGGGTCAATTAAATTAAGGCTGCCATTATACTAAACCGGTGTTCGTTCAAAGGATAACGCGTTAAAAACGTTGGAGTTCGTGACAAAGCCCACCGCGTCAGACGATTGTGTGCGCGAAAATGTCCACCGCGTTAGATGCACGTAGAATCATGTAGAATGAGAATTGGGTCAAAGGGCTCGATGGCTCGTGACGAGTTCACCATATTGCAGGGTAGAAGTCAATCCAAATCGGTCTCTTGTACTTCGTAGAGTCGGTCAATGGAATGTGGTTGAACACCACCCTAAACGGCTGTAATACAATCAATAAACAATAATAAACATGGTATCCTATCATATTAGTTTGATACAAAAATACATCAACAAATGTTCTTAACATGTAAGGACTTTCTCACAATATAAACATACAATGTTGACTTAAACATCATTAATAGAAATACACAAAATCAGTTAGCTTTAACATATCTGAAGACAGAAACTTCCTTTCCAGTATTTCATACCAGCCTTTGTAAATAATGCTAATAACATTTCACATTATTTCTGGCTTTTAGAAATATGTTTATAACAGAAACAGTTAATGCATTCTGTTTGCATCAAAATTCAAGATGGCTACCTGCGATTTAATATATTAAAAATGGCTGACTTTCAAAATGGCTGACATTCCAGCATGGCTGACTTTCCGTGTCTGCCGGAATAAAGGCACTTACAAAAACAATAAATATTTCAAACATGTATTGTGTCGTTTCACATGACACAAATCCCAATTAAATTACTTAAAGACAAATATTCATATGCAACATCTAAAAACATTTCTCCAGGCATCCGTTTACACTATAGGGCATAAGACAGGGTCATAAATGTGAATAAAATGAGAGATATGAGCTTAGAGGTAAAACTTACAGTTATTCTGTAGATTGAAGACCCCGTTGCCTGCCTCCCGGAGGGATCGTGTCCGAAGGACGGTTGTCTGCTCCTTCCGCTCCCAACAGCAGAATGAGAAAGCAGCAATAAAAAAGGGGACCACACTCGCTCTGAACAGCAAGTCCAAAAATCCTCCCTTCACTGTCAAACGTACTCCCTCCCCAAGGGCGACACAGCAGGTCCTTCTCTACTCGCAACAAAATGGCTTCTGCCCACCACTCTCGCTAACGTATAACACGTACACATTCACACTCTCCCAAACGTAACCCAGTCACATGCGCGCTAGTGTTAAATTTGCATATCCAAATTCCTAGGACGAAGGAACAAAGGAAAAGGAATGCGCGCATCCAGACTTCGCATCTGAATAAGAATTAGAGAGGTCAGAGGGCAAATGGAAAGCTATGCATGAATATTCACCCAGCTAGGAAAACCATTAATCAATGCATTTTATTTTGACAATAACATTATCATCATTTTCATTTGACTAATTTTCAATGTGAGAACTGAAACGAAAAATACATGTATAACCAAGAAACAATTAAGTGGGAAAAGGGATATTGAATAAGACGAGAAGTAGCAAGTTTATGAGGATCATAAAATGAGAGGAAGTGTGCCCTCGTATCTTAAAGGGATCGTTTAACAATGTTAAATCTGAGATACACGGTCCTACATGTTATCAGTGTCTGTGATATGGTGTAACGTTGAAGCCCTAAAAAATCGCGCTTCAAAATGATCAAGAAGTGCCTCAAAAAAGTAAAAATCTTTGAGTGACCGGTTATACCATACTCGTTTTCCCCAATAGACTGTAGTGTTATGAAAACCGTCAGGCGAACGGTTTTCAAAATTTGTAATTCCAATCATAAATATCTTGATAATCGGACAGGCGATCGGCTTGTAAAAGTCATGGGGTTCCTGACTGACCTAAAGGTTTATAATTATCATTGCATCATGAGCTAAATCCAGAATTTTATTTCAGAATCTGAGACAAAGTTACCGGATCCCTTTAATGTTGTTGTTATTGGTTTTTATGGCGTTTTCTATCGTCGTTGGATGATTTTCGCCATTAATGTGTTCATCTAACGCTTTATAAAAGTTATGTTTTTTAGATTATTTCAATGAACTGCTAATTGCATTTAGAATTTCTTCATATTTCTTTTCTTTTCTTCCTGTGATACAGAGAATGCTTGTGTATTGGTTGATCCGTGTATGAATGGAGCAGCATGCATGTATATGCCTTTAACTGATAACTACACCTGTCAATGTGTTGCGGGGTATAGAGGGATCAATTGTGAAAAGGGTAAGTTTTTTTCCTTCAAATGCAATTTCAATTATAATAATTGTGGTAGGTATGAATTATGATCTAGTAGGCCTAATAAAAAATGATAAAGAATGATGAATATGTTTACAGTATATATATATATATATATATATATATATATATATATATATATATATATATATATATATATATAGTTACTGTAGTGAAGTAATAATGTATAGATATCATAATAGTAATGATATTAGTATTAGTGGCTTTTTGTATAGCGCTTTGTTTGTCTTCATTAGGCCTAAAAAAAAAAATTGATGACTTGGCGTAACGGGTCACTGAAAATTAGGGTAGGTAGGGCGATTTTTTTGTTTTTTGTTTTTTGTTTTTTTTTTGTTGTTGTTGTTGCTTATATTTGCATACATGAAATTACCCATTCATACACATACATACATACAGTGGCGTAGATAGGTCCTCAGACCTTGGGGATGATCTGATGAGAGGGGTAGACCACAATATGTTCAAATAACTCCACGCACACACACACACACATATATGGACACACACACTGTGTGAGCAAAGTGAGCAAGAAATTGTTGAAATCTTGATCACCTTGGGACCTGGGGGATGCATACATACACCTCCCCCCCCCCCCCTGCATACATACATGTACATACACCCTCATGCACATAAAATGCAAACATACAAACGCATTAATAGGTTTCCAATAGACCCCAGCCTGAGATATCTCAGACACTGTCTTCAACAGGATAAACAGGTGAATATGTAGGTTTAGAAGGGGCTGTTCACAAAAATTAGTATTTTCACAATGTATTGACTTTTATTGCATTTATATAACTTGTCTAGAGGTTAACATGTTAACATGTTAACATGTATCCAAAATCTTGAAGAATGAGGGTTGAAAAGAGTAGCCAATTACAACTTGTGAAAATATTTACAATTGTGAATGCCTCTGTAATAACAAACAGTTAAAAAATGTCTCCAGTATTTCAGAATCCTTTATCAAAAAAACAAAAAAACAACAACAAACAAAAAAAAAAAAAAAAAGCGTAGGGTCGGCGATAAAAATAGGGTCGGGCGGGTTACGCCAAGTCATCAATTTTTTTTTTTAGGCCTTAGCGTATATCATTATCATCGTCGTCATCATTGTCGTCGCGACTTTCAGCATCACCTTCCATTCCTTCATCATCATCATCATCGTCATCATCATCATCGTAATCATCATCTTCATCATCGTCATCTTTGTTTATCGCCAGCATCATTAACATCATCATCTTCCTGAGTGTTGGGGTGTCTCGTTATCCTAATTATTATCATCTCCGATTCAGTCCAACTATCTTTTCTGTGGCAGCAATAATTTGTCATTCCTGTTTTTATCCGTCCGGCTATCCATCTAAAATACTCACGTATTCCATTTTCTCCCATACCATATTAGTCTGCCCCCCTCTCTCTCTCTCTCTCGCTCTCTCTCATTCTCTCTCTCATTCTCTCTCTCTCTCTCTCTCTCTGTCCTCCCTCTGTCCGTCCCTCGTACCATCTCCTTTAGTTCTGTGATATACCTATTTCTCATCATATATGCTCAGTTGTTCGTGCTATTACTCCTAGTATCACCTGTAACCCCATCGCATTTGCGCTATATCCATCCACTTATCGCAGTCTCAACGGTTTGTCACGAAATACTAATATCATGTCACTCGGCTTTCACACACGGTAATATCCATTTGTTTTATTATTTTGAACATTGGTTTTTATTCATATAATTAACGAGGATCATCACGATTCGTGTTTTAGCTGCTTACTCTCAAAGTTCTCCCTGGCATGTTTTCATTTAATCCCAGTTAATTGAGATTTAGACTAGTGTAGATGACATGTCCTGCCTAGGAACTATTAAAGGAAACCTCACCTAAAAGAATTAGTGTAGGTATCCTGAAAGACGAGATGTACATGTATCCCTGCTTTTTGATGTCTAACATTCCTTACACACGGTAATATCCATTTGTTTTATTATTTTGAACATTGGTTTTTATTCATATAATTAACGAGGATCATCACGATTCGTGTTTTAGCTGCTTACTCTCAAAGTTCTCCCTGGCATGTTTTCATTTAATCCCAGTTAATTGAGATTTAGACTAGTGTAGATGACATGTCCTGCCTAGGAACTATTAAAGGAAACCTCACCTAAAAGAATTAGTGTAGGTATCCTGAAAGACGAGATGTACATGTATCCCTGCTTTTTGATGTCTAACATTCCTTACGAAAGTGTACAACAGATATAAATATCAAGATTTTCTTGGCATGATGTAATGCCTTTTAGCATGACATGGGCACAGCCATTTTCTTGATAATGTGACTACCTACTTCTACTACTACTACTCTACTACTACTACTACTACTACTACTCTACTACTACTACTACTACTACTACTACTACTTCTACTACTACTACTTCTACTACTAATACTACTACTACTACTACTACTACTACTACTACTACTACTATCACTACTTCTCTACTACTACCACTACTACTACTACTACTCTACAACTACTACTACTACTACTACTACTCTACTACTACTACTACTACTACTACTCTACAACTACTACTACTACTACTACTACTACTACTCTACTACTACTACTACTACTCTACTACTACTACTACTACTACTACTACTTCTACTATTACTACTTCTACTACTAATACTACTACTACTACTACTACTACTACTACTACTACTACTACTACTACTACTACTACTACTACTACTACTACTACTAATACTACTACTACTACTAATACTAATACTACTACTAATACGTACTACTACTACTTCTACTACTAACGCTACTACTACTATCACTACTTCTCTACTACTACCATTACTACTACTACTACTACTACTACTACTACTACTACTACTACTAATACTACTACTACTACGTACTACTACTACTTCTACTACTAACGCTACTACTACTATCACTACTTCTCTACTACTACCACTACTACTACTACTACTACTACTCTACTACTACTACTACTACTACTTCTATTAATATTACTACTACTACTACTACTACTACTACTACTACTACTACTAATACTACTAATACTACTACTACTACTACTACTACGTACTACTACTACTTCTACTACTAACGCTACTACTACTATCACTACTTCTCTACTACTACCACTACTACTACTACTACTACTCTACTACTACTACTACTACTACTACTACTACTACTACTTCTATTAATATTACTACTACTACTACTACTACTACTACTACTCTACTACTACTACTAATTCTACTACTCCTCCATATCATGCATATGTACCAGGTGTGTTCTGTACAAATTCACTATTCTTAATGATAAAACTACAATGTTCGATATTACAGCTTGTACATGTATTCAAGAATATCCCGTATAGACGTATGCCTAAAAAATGATTAGCGCAGATATTAGCTAGAATTTCTCAAAGAATTAAGCAGCTGTAGAATTGAATTACACTTTCTAAAAAGATAATGTTGACATTGGATTTCACCTAAGATTTCTTGTTTTATTTCTTGCAGTTGATCTCTGTTACTCCATGCCCTGTCAATACAATGGTGTATGTCAATATGTTGGAGATACAAACATCACATGTACATGCCAGCAGGGAAGAGTGGGAGAATTCTGCCAAGAAGGTAACTCATTTTCTATTCAACCCTAAACGATTTAGCGATCAATTTCTAATTCGTGACATGTTGGAATTTGTCAATTGTCACTCACTCAATCACATGTTAAAATTTCTTATGCTGATACATGGTTTTTCAAATCCAGTCTGCAGAGTATTTATATACATGTAGATCTGTTTCCTAGAAGTTACAGAGCGCTTCATTTGGGACTTTTAGATTTGCACGTCGACATAGTGGACTGCTACGTGTGACGTCCTTTTAAGGCACTGGCAGTGCTTTAAAAGGACGTGCCATGATAACGACATCAGATCCCGCTTAGATTGTGTTCATATTGTCTTTTCAGATGATGTATGCTTACCTAACCAGTGTCAGAATAACGGCTCATGTATCAACATAGAATTAACACATTTCTCATGCTTGTGTGAACCCGGATGGACAGGAGATGTTTGTCAAATCGGTTTGTAAACATCACATATTGTGTTGTATTGTGTCAAGGGCTAACGATTATTATTAGTGGAAATCCCCCCCCCCCCCCCCCAGATTGTTGATTTTTCTTTCCATTTGCTTCCCGTTATTTTCCCCTTTTTTGGAAAGTAAACTAGTTACTGACATCATATTTTCGCAATTTAAGTTTTGATATCATATCAGTCTGGTACAATGAAGTGCATGTTATATGAATGATAATGATAATAACCCTATGGAATGCGTGAGTCAGTCATTAGTCTTGTATTTAAGTTTACGTTAATATTAACAAGACACCCAATAGCTTATAAACCCAATGAAGACTTACATTTGGAGGGTATCTTCATTCCAGACGAAAAAAGAAAGAATCCACAGTAGTTGATGCATGCGAAATACAAATTATTAACAGTTTGTTGTACCCCCCCCCCCCCCCCCTCCTCCCCCTTTTTTCATAACATGACTCTGAGACATAAGTTGCTCGGTTGATGTAAAGACAATGTCCTAAATCTTTTTATTATTCTTAACAGAGGATTCATGTTTGAGCGACCCATGCAAGAACGAAGGAGATTGTTTACTAACCAACCCTGGTTACCTATGTGTATGTCCTCCTGGCTGGTTAGGGATCATCTGTGATATAGGTGAGACAATTTACTAACCATCACTGGTAATTCGTGAATGGCTAGGGATCACTTGTAGTATAGGTAATGCCCACTGTACCCTAAACGATCATCCTGCGATCTGATTCATTACAAAATTAAATCTAAACAAACATCATCTACTAAATCTGCAGGTTCTAAGTAATAAAGGTACGACTATTTACTAACCAACCCTGGTTATCTCATGTATAGTTAGGGATCACCTGTGATATAGGTAAGATTATTTACTAACCATCCCTGGTTAGCTAATTCTATTCTTAAATGGTTAGACTATTTACTACCCCTTGAATGAAACTTGAAAAAGGAAAGACATTTTACTAGTTGTCTTAAGCAAACTGATACCATTTTACTATGTTTTCTTTCATTTCCCACCATTAAATAATGCTTGCACAGTTATATCAATGATGAAATCGAAGGGCCAGTATAAATAGTACTGATTATATGCCAAAACTTGAGATGGCAATTATTGAATGTATTACATATGGTAATACTTGACACAAATGAATAGCAAGAGACAAATAAACAGATATTTTTACATTATTCATTTTCCTTTATAGAAGACGCTTGTACGAGCATGCCATGTAAGAACCAAGGAACCTGTAATCCAATATTGAGCGTTGAGTCGAACGACACATCAGACTACAACTGTACATGTCTCCCTGAATTCACTGATTACAACTGTGAAAGAAGTAAGTTTTCATCCTCATCTATTCTCTCTTGTATTATACACAAATTGAGTTTTGAGTTTACGCTATTTTGAACTTCTATATTTCGGTTTTGTATTGTTTTCTCTACTAAAGATGGAATTTGTGCACTTTGATAATATTGTCATTACTATTATTGGTAGCATTATTATCATCATCATCATCATCTTTTGAATAGGCTCTTTACTAATAAACAACATTTCTTGTAATCAGAATGAACTAAAGTTTATAATGCAATTATTTTCCTCTTTACTTTTGTTAAACCGAAGGCAACGAATGTTATAGCAGTCCCTGTCTAAATGATGGTAACTGTACTCTACTGGAGAAGGTTGGATACCAATGCTCATGCCAACAAGGATTTATTTCACATAACTGTGATATAGGTGAGTTGCTTGGGTCTTTTTTCTTTTCTTTTTGACAATTACATATAGCTTTGCCTGCACTCTCTCATTTTATGAGCATTTTGTGGAGGTGTCGTGTTGCAGTGGCTCACTCGATTGTTTTTCAATCCAATGTTGGAGGGTTCGAATCCCAGTCCGGCACTAATGTCCTTTGGCAAGATATTAATCCACATTTGTTACTCTCCACCCACGCGTTAAAAGATACCTGACAATTGCTTGGGAGGAGAGGTATCAGTACTAAAGCGGCTGTCATTGGTAAATAAGGCCCAATTGTTATATTTACTGTTATACGAGCAAATTACCTACGCCAAAAGAGATTTTTTATTGTACTTGTATTTGCATACACTAATTTTTTTTTTAACAAACTGATAAAAAGTGGAAATGGTAATAAGGCTAATAATGCATTGTAATTATGTGGTGATATATAATGTCACATTCTTTTTTTTTGGGGGGGGGGGGGTGGGGGGGGGTTACAGAATATTTACTATTTCAAATCCCGAGTTGTATGATATAAATAAAAGCATCGATGGCAAATGTTAAACCTCCCCTTCTCCTTGTATTTGTCGCATTTCAGTTGACTCGTGTTTCTCGAATCCGTGTCTAAACGAAGGAACATGTACAACCTTTCCTGATTCTATCATAAACGGAACAGCTCTATTCAACTGTATGTGTCATTCTGAATTCTTTGGAGAAACCTGTGAAATAGGTAAGAAATTTGTTTTCCAACTTAAAGAATGCCTTGAAATTTATTAACATGTCCATGTTTTTCAAGTAATTCAGTTATCATTAGCTATTGAAGCTTTATTTTAATTCTATTTATTTCGATTTCATTTATTCATTTTTTTTGTCTTTTTACTTTTCTGTCGACCCGTGTTTCTCGAATCCGTGTCTAAACGAAGGAACATGTACAACCTTTCATGATTCTATCTTCAACGGAACAATTCTATTCAACTGCACATGTCATTCAGAATTCTTGGGAGAAACATGTGGAATAAGTAGGTAGATTTGGTGTAAATTGCCTTTATTGTTAAGTCGTTCACGGGTGTATTGACGTGAGCATTTAGTGCCATAGCCTGAATTAATACAGTAATTTGCATGATGCACTGTGGATTGAGTATGATACGCTTCACATTTAAGTTGTACTCAACTTCAATATTCAACATTCCATATATTCGATTGTATTATTAGCCAGGGCCCATATTAGTTTGCAGGATTTAGAGTCTATAAAAATATAGTTCTCTACAGTGGACCTTTTTTTTTTTTAACTCAAGCCCGTGTGTAAATGGTGGGACTAGTATAACGCTAAATGATTATATTGTAAACATCTAATTCTAACTGTTCCTGTCACTCAGAATTTATTGGAGAAAATTGTGAAATAATAAAAACAAGATGCGCACTGATTAGTTTTACTAACATTTTGAGCATTTGATCAAAGAAATGTTGTATTGCTCGTACAAAATATCATCAACCAATGTTATTTGCATATTGCAGATTCACTAAAAGAAAAGAAAAATCGGTTTCCTGTTATTTATTGAAACCGTGTTTTTCTCACCCCTGTGCTAATGGTGAGACATGTACATTTCTAGCTGATTCAATTGTAAATGGAACGGCTGATTATAACTACACCCGTCATTCGGAATTCATTGGAGACAACTGGGAAATAGATGAGCACCTTCTGTTTTTGGCTTTGATACGTCACGTAATATAGCAGTTCAGTTGTTACAAAAAAATTGCGCTTAATAATTCAATCTACTAATATCATTCTAGGTGTTTCGAACGTCCGATGACAAGATTTTAGAGGGAAGAAAATCTTTTGCCACTCCCCATCCAGGTTTTGTAATGCTACCGGTGGTAAGGATAGGCTTGCTTCATTGGTCGTAAAACTTACTTGGCAAACACCATATCAGAAAGTTGGGAGCGTCGTTGCGTGAAGGACATAAACGCTATACAAAAAGCCACTATCATGTCATTATTATACAATTATCATTTATGTCTCATGCATAAAATGTTATCCAAAAAAAGAAGATTAGATATACTTTCAACCTTGTATCGTTGTATGTGCCATAGATGATTGTATTTGTGTTTCTTCATTATTTTTTTTCAGTTGATGCGTGTTTCTCCGATCCCTGTCTAAACGAAGGAACATGTATGACCTTTCCTGATTATATCATCAATGGAACAGCTCAATTCAACTGCACATGTCATTCTGAATTCTTTGGAGAAACATGTGAAATAGGTAAATAATGTAGTTTGACATTTATGAAAGAAACTACATGTAAAACAAATATCTAATATTTTGTTTTATGTTGAATTGTATTGAACATTTGATATGATTTTCCCGTTGACTAAGCATGCTAACCTATTTTAGAAATGAACTGTGGCTAAGAGTTTTTAACATAAATGTAGAGAATAACTTCTCAATGGTTTCATGAAATGATTTTTCACTTTTTCTTTCCAGTCGACCCATGTTTCATGAATCCGTGTCTAAACGAAGGAACATGTACAACCTTTCCTGATTCTGTCATCAACGGAACAGCTCTATTCAACTGCACATGTCATTCTGAATTCTTTGGAGAAACATGTGAAATCGGTAAATAATATAGTTTGACATTTTTAAAAGGAAACACATCGAAATATAAATATTTATTGTCTTTTTTTATATTCATCATACTGAATATAACACCTCCAGTCGACTGAGCATGATAATCCTTAACATACATTATGTAGAAAAAAAATCAATTGTTTCATGAAGTGATATTTTACTTCGCAGATGACCCGTGTTTCTCGAATCCTTGTCTAAACTAAGGAAAATGCAAACGAAAAAATGCCTGCACAGATTGTTGAAAGTAAAGCAAGGATCAGATATTGCATCTTTACTTTTTAAAAACAATTATTTCACTTACTTTAACGAGATCAGTAAGAGAAATTTGTACTTTGGTTTCTTAACAGTGGACCCGTGGTTTATAAGCCCTTGTATTAATGGTGGAACGTTTATAACGCATTCTATTGTAAATCAACTGGCTCAATTAAGTTGCCTGTGTAACTCAGAATTCATTGGAGACAACTGTGTAACAGGTAAAAATGACAACGTGTTGAATGCTATGCAGATGAGTTCAACCGATAAATTCCATTCATGTCATTCGTTTTCATAAAATTGTATTATTTGTTTCAACCGTTATGGTGCTATGACAAGACAAAGACGTCCTAGTCGAGTCGTTCAAACGATCGACTGAAACTGCAAGGAATTAGGGTTCGAGTCCCCGTTTGGGCTAGTATTCTTTGGCAACATGTGCTACTATTCATCCAGGTTTATGTTATGCTACCATTGGGACAGATATGCATAGTTGATTGGTCGTAAGACCAATCCGGGTAACGCAAACTCCGTATCAGAGTGTTAGGAGCATCGCTGCGTGACAAACATGAACGCTATACAAAAAGCCACTATCATGTCAGTATTAATACAGTTATTATTTCTGTCTCATGAATAAAAAATATTAAAGACTAAAATTAAATATACTATCAACCTTGTGGGTGCCATGTATGTATGTTTCTTTCTTCTCTATTTTTCAGTTGATCCGTGTTTTTCGAATCCGTGTCTAAACGAAGGAACGTGTACAACCTTTCCTGATTCTATCATCAACGGAACAGCTCTATTCAACTGCACATGTCATTCTGAATTCTTTGGAGAAACGTGTGAAATAGGTAAGCAAACTGATCACTACGACAGTATACATAGGTATACAGACTAAACTCAATTATCGTTATCGTTTAGTGTTAATTTGTGAATCGTTACTGTAGTATGGTATTATCAATAAGCAAACAAATAATTTGCATCTTTATTTCGTTTTTCTTGTTTATCTGCAGTTGATCCATGTTTCTCGAATCCGTGTCTGAACGAGGGAACATGTACAACCTTTCCTGATTCTATCATTAACGGAACAGCTCAATTCAACTGCACATGCCATTCAGAATTCTTTGGAGAAACATGTGAAATCGGTAAATAATATAGTTTGACATTTTTAAAAGGAAATACATTGAAATATAAATATTTATTGTTTTATTTTTTATTTATCATACTGAACATAACATTCTTCAGTTGACTAGGTATGCTAATCCCTTTTTTATAACTCAACTGTTGTAATGAGTTTCCTACATGCATTATGTAGAAGAAGAAAAATGCAATTGTTTTATGAAGTTATTTTTCACTTTTGCTTTGCAGATGACCCGTGTGTTTCTCGAATCCGTGTCTTAACGAAAGAAAGTGCAAAAGACACAAAACAGCAAAAGTAAAGCATGGATCAGATATTGCATCTTCACTTTTGAAGAAAATTAAATTTGACTTACTTTAGCGAGATCAGTAAGAAAAATTGATACAGTGGGCCCATGCTTTACAAGCCCTTGTATCAATGGTGAAACATATATATCCCGAACTGGTTCTATTGTAAATTCCGTTTATGTCATTCGTTTTCATAATATGGTATTATTTGTTTCAGCAGTTGTGGTGTTTGACAAGGCAAAGATTTCCATGTCGAGTCGTTCAAACAATTGACTGAAACTGCGAGGAATTGGTGATCAAGCCCCTGTTGGGGCTAGTGTTCTCTTGCTACCGTTAGGAAGGATTTGTCTGTTTGATTGGTCGTAAGACCAAACCCGGCTATTAACGCAAACTTTGTATCAGAGTGTTTGGAGCATCGCTGCGTGACAGACATGAACGCTATACAAAAAGCCACTTTCATGTCAGCATTAATACATTCAATTTTTCTGTCTCATGAATAAAATTAAATGAAAACTAGAACTAAATATACAATCAACCTTGTGGGTGCCTTTTAAGTATGTATGTATGTTTCTTTCTTCTCTATTTTTCAGTTGATCCATGTTTCTTCGATCCGTGTCTAAACGAAGGAAAGTGTACAACCTTTCCTGATTCTATCATCAACGGAACAGCTCTATTCAACTGCACGTGTCGTTCTGAATTCTTTGGAGAAACATGTGAAATAGGTAAGCAAACTGATCACTACGACAGTATACAAAGGTATACAGACTAAACTCAATAATCGTTTAGTGTTAATTTGTGAAACGTTACTGTAGTATGGTATTATCAATAAGCAAACAAATAATTTGCATTTTTATCGTTTATCTGCAGTTGAGCCATGTTTCTTGAATCCCTGTCTAAACGAAGGAACATGTACAACCTTTCCTGATTCTATCATCAACGGAACAGCTCGATTCAACTGCACATGTCATTCAGAATTCTTTGGAGAAACATGTGAAATCGGTAAATAATATAGTTTGACATTTTTAAAAGGAAAAACATTGAAATATGAATATTTATTGTTTTATTTGTTATTCATCATACTGAGCATAACATTCTCCAGTTGACTAGGTATGCTAATCCCTTTTTATAACTCAACTGTTGCAATGAATTTCTTACATGCATTATGTAGAAGAAGAAAAATGCAATTGTTTCATGAAGTTATTTTTCACTTTTGCTTTGCAGATGACCCGTGTGTTTCTCGAATCCGTGTCTTAACGAAAGAAAGTGCAAAAGACACAAAACAGCAAAAGTAAAGCATGGATCAGATATTGCATCTTCACTTTTGAAGAAAATTAAATTTGACTTACTTTAGCGAGATCAGTAAGAAAAATTGATACAGTGGGCCCATGCTTTACAAGCCCTTGTATCAATGGTGAAACATATCGTCACCGTTTTCACGAAGTGGTCTCGTGGCCCGCGCAGCGACAAAAGTGAATTTCGAGATAAACGCATTTTAACATTTCATGTTATTAAAACGGGGGTTAACGTACATCTTCAAAGATTTCCTTTGACAACCACATAGTACAGATTCTAACGATTCTGCTCATATATATTTTGTTTACAAAAAATATATAATCAAGTGGGGATATTGTAACAAACTGTGGGACCGGTTCGTGAAAACGAAAATATGCGCATTCAACATACGCGTCGTTTTCACGAAGCGGTCTAGAGGAGTGCGCGACCGGTTCTTGTGTGAGAGGTCTGCCTTTTCCGTTTTCACGAAGTGCGCTATTCGACAGCAGGCTATATGAGTTTCATGAACTATCTCGTAAATACCATCTAGGAGTTTTGTTTCCTTTCATAAGATGAAGTAGTATGACCCTTTAAACAACATATATTTTTTCACAAGCTAAATTCTTACACATTAATGAGTTATTATAATTTTAAGTTGTTTAATTATGTTTGTCGCCCTCTTGAGTCCCAAAATGGACAAATGGACGAAAGGTGTGTCTTTCAACTCCTCTTTTTGTTATATGAGGGAGAATATGATGTAAACCCATGTTGAAAAACTAACTTCTAATAAAGTATGTGAACTTAGCTTTACATCCTATTCGAGGGACACTCAAAACGTCTTTCCCCCTTGCTTTACTGCAAATGTTTCTACTTTTACAGGGTCACATAATTACTTTTCACATTACTTCTCAAATTCTACTTTACTAACAAATGATGAAGGAAATGACATAATAATGATAATATTAAGAATAAATTATAATGATCTTAGGATTATTATAATTATTGCAATCATTCCTATTGATATTATTATTATTATCAACAAATTGTGTTCACAGACATTACTTATTTGGGACCGGGATCCAGAAAATGCATACTGTCAAATATGAACCCCCCCCCCCCCCTTCCCACCCCTATACAACTGCATTCGTCATACCTAGTTGATTCTGTCTCTTCACAATCACATCACTCTGGAATCATGTTCTGCTTCATATGTAATTAAGTTTTATTGAATATTTTTGTCAATGATCAAAAGTATATTTGTATACTTTTTTTTAGCACTCAATTGCTTCTCAGTTCTTTCTCTCTCTCTCTAGCTCTCTCATGCAAACTTGAACATTCCCTCTACCTCTCTCTCTTTCTTCATTTAACACATCTCATAATCGTTTGTAACGCTTCTGCTGCCGTATCTTCTTGCCACATAAGTCATCATTCTATAGTACATTACTCTCTCAGACACATTTCTTCCATAAACAAATCAAACTCAACAAGGATAAACATTGAATAGCACAAAGCAATCAAATCTTAAGATGAACACTTTCATCATGGTAATGACTGAATTTATTTCTTTGCAATATAACTGAAATCGTTTTTGTACAGTTCATTTCACAATTACATGTACAATCATTAAAAATTGATAAATCATAATAATAATAATAATAATAATAGCCTAATAGTTCACTCCAAATTTTATTAAACCGAAACGGAAATTCTTTTTGCCCAATTGATCATGAGCCCGGCAGCCGCTGAGCGCCAGATCGACGTTGCTCTATCCCTTATTGTTGAACGCCAAACAAGATAGCAACAACTCCCATCTTTTAACGTCTTTTGGTATGACGCGGCCGGGATTCGAACCCACGACCTCCCGGTTGTGAGGCGGACGCTCTACTGACTGAGCCAACACTCCGGTGTAATGAATCATGTTTGAATATAAAAATTGCAACTTATTTAACTGTAGCTCACACTCATGGCAAAAAATACATGGTAGCTCTATAAAGAATGGGGGTACCGGTGTTCTTGGAAAATTCTGAAATGCAAATTCACAAGGCCACTGATTAGGGGGAGGGTTACAATATAGTTTGAGTACTGCCACAATGGAAGAGGAGCTTAAAAGAAAATCATTAATTATTTATATTTTTTGTGTATGACATACAAAGTTGTCAGCTGCATACGTCCCTGTTGCCTCATAAAATTGCAGATCTGAGATTTACATAGATGTTGTAATCTAACTTTTCAAACATTATTTCTTATTCTATGTCTGATTTCTTTCAAACTTTCACCAGTCTATTACACTCATTTTTTCTGCTTTAACATAAATCAACTTGTTACAAAGGTTGGATTGCCCTTTGAAATATAAACTATTAGCAATTAATATTAGTCCTACATGCCAAACCCTTCTAAAAAACATACAACACTGTAAGTTTATGGGATTAAAACTTCTTACATGTAACTTTTATATGATGGATGACCTTAGTCTGTGCTGTTCTTAGTGAGGAAGGAGGGAGGTTGTCACTGTCAAAATAATAATAACAATATGCTCAAGGCGCTCCAACTATTACCCTCGCTCTGCTAGGCAGCCACTTTCGGTGCTCACAGCAGAGTGGCAAATGTAGGTTAATATCTTGCCAAAAGACATTACTGCTGTGGCGGGACTTGAACCATGGATCCTGTAATCCACAGTCCAACTACTTATCCACTAGAACACAAAACCTCTAAATGGAGGCACATTTGGAGTCAGAGTCTCCTGTCAGCGTTGCAGTCCCCGTCCAGTACACATCCATCTAGCTCATAGTAACTCTTGAACCCACCCTAAGCCTTCCGTTATATCGAAGATCTCGTTTCTTGCCACAATTGATCTCTCCATCACGATCCCACCTCACAATAACTTCTGTATTTTTGTCCATCCTAAGAGGTAATTGACAAAAGATTGTTACAATCAAGTTATCAATAACTCGGTTCAATGATAAGTAGAGAAGACATAGTAATTTTATTTCATAAAACAGGAATGAAACCTAGAAACAGGTATTAAATAAAAAGTGGTTTTACTCTGTCCTAAATTGATATTTTGAAATATACAGTAAATATAAATGAAAATCAGAATATGAATTTAAGGTCTACTTTTAACAGAAAAAAAAGCAAAGCATGCACCGAGTAGAAAAGCAGATTTGCAATTGTTTTATAAATACTGTTGCACCATTTATTCACTTAGAATGCAATTTGTGACATTGTGGCACTAAATTCCTGGTAGGAAATCAGAGTGGTATAACTCCTATTTTACAAATATGAATGGCTTACCTGTGTTCAACACTTTTAGGTTGGGAGGATTGGTATATTGTTTAAAAAAATTGTGACAGCATACTCCATGGTCTGTATGGTACTATTGTATTCCATTTCAATAAAAAATGTAGAGGACATCTATACAGTATTTATCAACCACTGAAGATGATATGATAGGGTTCCATATGTATTACTGGGTTTGTTGTCAATCATTGAATTGATATATTCATATCTAAAGAAGATATAAAATCTGCAGGTTATCAGCAAATTTGTGATGAATGTTATAAACCCAGTAAGTAATAATGAATGCACTTGCATTTACTTGTCTGCCAGATTGAAAGAAACTTTATTATATCAACTTTCAGAAAGACCACTCAATAAGGCCAATATTCAAAGTTAGTCAAGCGTATAATATCATTTATTATTATTTATGGTGCAATTATCGCATAAAGACACGCGTGATGTAGCAGCGGGTAATATGAGAGCATATTACCATATGTTTCACATCTGGGTACTTGTACATGATAAATGTATAAGTGATACTTGAAATATAAGAAGAGGATAATTGATAATAATAACATTGACTGGCTCACATTTTGGTTGATATGAGACAATATTGCCCTCAACATAACCATATTGCCCTCGTCTTCGACCCGGCTAATATGATTATATTTGGGCAATATAGTTTCATATTCCCATTAAAGCCAGTCAAAATTATAAAAATATTTCATATATAAACAATATAAAATGTAACAAATTAGGTTAAAACTTACCTTTGAAGACTGAGGGGACTTAGCTATTCAGTCGGTCGGTCTGTCAGTCGTTTGGTCTGACCTCCAAACCGTGGTATTGGAAACGTAATCAGTTCAAGGGCAAAGGTGCAGATGCTGGGTTAAAAGGAGAATATATTTGATAACTCATGATGGATGCAGAAAACCCCCAACACAGCTCGTACAGGAAGCTATACTGGGATGATATGATTTTAAAATCGCATCTCTTCAAAAAATTACAGGCATCAGGTTAATGCATATTATTTTATTTTTTCTGTGATGAAACAACACAAATTAGTGTTAACTCTCCTTCTTCACCCCCTTCCCCCTATGAAAAAAAGACAATAAGAAAAATACAAAATATAAGATGAATCCTGTCATCTTGTAAGTTGATACACCATAAGTAGCTCAAACATGACATGTTGGCAAAATGAATGTCTGTCACGCACATTAAAGAGCGAGGAACTTGTGTTTGATGCCTTACAATACCATCAACTGCCTAAAACCTTTCAAAGCAAGATCAGTCATGCGTTTATGGAAAAAAAATGAGTGTTTGGGAACCCGTCATCTTTGTAAGGGCCCTGCTAGCACCCCCACCACTTTGCGCACATTAGGAAATTATTTCCCAGCATAGTTTTGTCCATGGATCATTGTTATGTAAATGAAAATAGTTCATTTGTTTGCTAAAGATTGACCCCCTCCCCCTCGCCAGCCCAACTCCCAATCTATAACTTTTCTTTTGGAGCTAATTTCCTTACCACACATACCTTGTCAATTTGCTAAAAGCTCTCCACATCAGCTGCACAAACTCCTACATGGACATCAACCACTGGGGGTGCTAGTGGTCCCTCATCTCTTGCGTATCTCAGCTGTCTATTCTACTGGTAAACTATGAAAAAATATGAAAAGTATTTGTTTAATTTTTCTGCATTTGTTCAAACAAGCCACTTCATCTCACGGTTGGATATCCCTTTAACTTATTAGTAAGCACATCATTATCCAAAGCAATTAAGAAGACCTTGAATAATTAAGTCTCAGTCTTGCAAACATGGGATGAAACAACCCAAATTAGTGCTAACTCCCCCCCCCCCCCCTCTCACAACGTGACGGACATGTGCGCTATACCAGAAGCCAATAGTACTATTATTATAAGCAAACCCCCCCCCCCCCCCCAACAAAACAAAAAGCCTGTCATCCTCTAAGTCCAAGGCAAAAGGTACACCTTAAGTAGCTCAACCACAACTTTGGCGGCAAAATGAAATTATCATGCACAATGAAGAGGGAGGAATTTGTAGTGGACGTCTTCCCATACCATCAGCTTTATCTTTGTCTTTAAAACAAATTAATTAAGAGCAGGCATGCGTTTATGAGCATAAAGCCGAGTGTATAAGAAGCCGCTCCAGCCTATGCTAGGTTGACCCCCCCCCCCCCCATCCATTAGTACCTCAACAACATGCTAAAAGCTCTCCACGTCAAACTTCTTCTTAGACATCAGCCACTGGGAGTGCTAGTGATGGTCCTCTCAGCCGGCTATTCTACTGGAAAAACCGGGAAGAAACATGAAATGTATTTGCTTCATTTTTCTGCATTTGCTGAAATTAAGCCACTTCATCTCAATTCTCATGGTTGGATTTCCCTTTAAATTATTAGCAAGCACAAAATTGTTTATTCATTCAAGCATACCTGGCTTTACTATTCAAGTCTCAGTCTCGTATTTATAACATGAACATGGAAAGAGCTTACGAGGGGGTCATTTAATATTTAAATCTAGTACTAGGAGTACTTAAGTACTAACGTAGTTCTAGATCTATAGACTCTAGGCTCGCGCTCGAGCCTAGACTCAACTCCTACGTCGCAATTGCCATTTTATGATTTGGCATTGTCATATCAACATTGACATTGAATTTTAACCAAAATGTGCCCTTGGCTAATTGGGCCTTGCCTTGGAGGCTTGGGCTGGTACTGCTTAATCAGTTAACATAGTTAATGTAAAATTATTATTAATGATATCTCCCCTGCCCTGGCCTGGGCTTCACTCTTCAGCGAATTCGCCTTGTGACTCGTGACATTGTTGTTACTGCATGTAACTGCTCCTGCACTTATACATGTTCAAGCTTATCTAAGATACTGTGTTACTTAATACTTAGTAGCACTCTGTTGATAGTACTAGTAGTACTAGTAGTAGTAGGCGAGTACGTAGGCCTACTACTAGATCTGCATACTACTAGTAGTAGACCGACAATACAACTCACGCAGAAAACAGTGCGTGGGACCGTAATGACCTATCTCGCCATTTCATAACTTGATATCCGTTCGGAATATGAGTTTGTTTATACTGCTACAGACGATATTATTGAACGATGCATAATATTGTTTTAAAATAAGTGAAAATAATTACCTAGGGCTGTCAGATTCCTCTAACAATTCCGCCAGAAGCACCGGCATCTGTGACAAAGGCTTCGCGGAGCCGGTTCGTGTACGATTATCAATAGCAGACTACATTTGCGCGTAAGAGCGCACTTCGTGAAAACGGTGTTTGCCAGTTGTACCGCTTGTGATACGTTTCGTGACGTCACGTATGACGTAATTAAGCAAGATTAGACTTTGAAAATTACTGAAGTTGTAGACATTTATATACATTGCTCAAAAACGGTAAAAACTCGAAATTGAAAATTTCAACGATTTTGGCCATGAGATCACTTCGTGAAAACGGTGACGATATATATATCCCGAACTGGTTCTATTGTAAATTCCTTTTATGTCATTCGTTTTCATGATATGGTATTATTTGTTTCAGCAGTTGAGGTGTTTGACAAGGCAAAGATTTCCATGTCGAGTCGTTCAAACAATTGACTGAAACTGCGAGGAATTGGTGATCAAGCCCCCGTTGGGGCTAGTGTTCTCTTGCTACCGTTAGGAAGAATTTGTCTGTTTGACTGGTCGTAAAACTAACCTTGCAAACTCAAACTCCGTATCAGAGTGTTTGGAACATCGCTGCGTGACAAACATGAATGCTATACAAAATACATGTCAGCATTAATACAGTTATTATTTCTGTCTCATGAATAGAATAAAATAAAAACTAGAAATAAATATACAATCAACCTTGTGGGTGCCATTTAAGTATGTATGTTTGTTTCTTCTCTATTTTTCAGTTGATCCATGTTTTTCGAATCCGTGTCTAAACGAAGGAACATGTACAACCTTTCCTGATTCTATCATAAACGGAACAGCTCTATTCAACTGCACATGTCATTCAGAGTTCTTTGGAGAAACATGTGAAATAGGTAAGCCAAGTGATCATTACGACAGTATACGTAAGCATGCATACTAAACACTTTTATCGGTTGTTCTTCATTTTGCTATTATGAATTAAAAAACAAATAATTGGCATTAGTATTTCATTTTCTCATTGATCTTCAGTTGACCCATGTTTCTTTGATCCGTGTCTAAACGAAGGAACATGTACAACCTTTCCTGATTCTATCATCAACGGAACAGCTCTATTCAACTGCACATGTCATTCTGAATTCTTTGGAGAAACATGTGAAATAGGTAAATAATGTAATCTGACATTTATGAATGGATGATGTTTTCTTTTCTTTTGAGTCGTATTGAACATTTGATATCATTTTACCCTTGCCTGAGCATGCTAACCTTTTTTTAGAAATGAACTATGGCTACGATTTTTTAACATATATATATATATATATATATATATATATGCAGAGTATTAACTTCTTAATGGTGTCATAAAATGATTTCAATGTTTTTCCTTTCCAGTCGACCAATGTTTCTCAATACCCTGTCTAAACGAAGGAACATGTACAACCTTTCCTGATTCTATCATCAACGGAACAGCTCAATTCAACTGCACATGTCATTCTGAATTCTTTGGGGAAACATGTGAAATAGGTAAACAAACTGATCACTACGACAGTATACATAGGTAGTTGATCCATGTTTTTCAAACGCGTGTCTAAACGAAGGAACGTGTACAACCTTTCCTGATTCTGTCATCAACGGAACAGCTTTATTCAACTGTACATGCCATTCAGAATTCTTTGGAGAAACATGTGAAATCAGTAAATAATATAGTTTGACATTTGTTAAAGGTTTACCTGGTTTACCTGGTTGCCGCCGTCAGTGTCTGGCGATTGGCGACCACATCTGCACATCTTCTTGTTGTCTTTCTCCATTTGTTTCTATCCTGTGCTAATCTTTTGGCATCTGAATATGTGAGACCTGTCCATTCTTTGATGTTATCGGATCACTGCTTTCTCTGTCTGCCTCTTTTTCTTTTTCCTTCTACTTGGCTTTCTATTATTTGTGCTGCTAAGGGGCTTCCACTGCCACGCAGAATGTGTCCAAAGTAACCCATCTTGAGGCGGGCCACTTTTCCAAGGAGATCTTTTTCTGTGTTTAGTTCTTGTAAAACACTGAGGTTAGTTCTTTTTTCCTTCCAGCTGATCTTTAGCATTTTCCTCCAGAACCACATTTCTGCTGCCATGATGCGATTTTCATCGGCTTTGAGCAGTGTCCAGCTGTCAGCACCATAAAGCAAAGCACTCCAAACCAGGGTTTTGACCAGTTTTATTTTCAGACCTGTTGAGATGTTCCTGTTATTCCAAAGTACATGCAGGTCAACCATTCTCTTCTTTGCTATTGCTATTCTTATCTTTACGTCACTGGTACAGCTTGCATCGCTGTTCTTTGTAGATCCAAGATATTTGAAGCTTTCCACATCTTTGACTGTTTCCCCGTCGATTTGGATGTTACAATCGGTATCTGAGGTTTTACCAGCAACTAGGAGTTTAGTCTTTTTAACATTTAAATGCAAGTTGAGTTTCTTGCCGGCATCGTTTACTACATGTGTGAGGCTTTCAATTCCATCTTTGGAAGATTCGATTAGTGCTGTGTTGTCAGCATATCTGAGATTTGAGATGTTTTTGCCACCAAATTTAATGCCATAGTGCGCAACATCTGCTTCACTCATCCCACTTTCTGTGTATGTGACGAAGAGGTATGGTGATAAGATACAGCCCTGTCTTGCACCTTTTCCTATCTCAAACTCTTCAGTATGCCCACCATCCCAACGGATGCTAGCTCTTTGGTTTACATAGAGAGATTGGATTAATGTGACGAGGTGTTTTGGGAAGCCCATAAGATATGGGCTTCCCAAAACACCTCGTCACATGGAGAAAAGTTTGTTGTGGCCCACAGAATCAAACGCCTTTGAGTAGTCAATGAACATAATAAAAGCTTGTTGATCCATGGCAATCACCTTCTCAAGTAAAACTTGCAAACATACAAGCATGTATCTTGTCCCTCTGCCTTTTCTGTAGGCAGCCTGGTCTTCTGGTTGCTCTTGCTCTAACTTTTGTTTCATTCTGTTAACAATTATCACGAGTAAGATTTTGCTGGTGTGACTGATAAGGGCAATAGTCCTGTAGTTTGAGCACAGTTTTTGATCCCCAGATTTAAACAGAACAACAAATTCCTGTATGTTCCATTTATCTGGCCAATGGCAAGAAGTCCAAATGCTCGCACATAATTTGTGGAGAAATTTAATACCATATGGTCCTGTAGCTTTCACCAGTTCGGCTGGTATTCCATCGATTCCTGGTGACTTCCCTGCTCTGAGCTTCTTCACCGCATGTTCAACTTCTGAAAGAAGTGACACTGGTTCTTGTTTCATTATATGGACCTGCTTTTCTGTTTGTGGACACTCATCAATTGGTCTTTTAAAGAGCTGAGTTCCATATTCTTTCCAGCGGTCCATTATGTTTTTCCTCTGATCTAAAATGATGACGTTCTTGTCTTTTATACATGATTGTTGTGCTTCTCTGGGGTTGGTCTTGACCGACTCGATAGCTGAGTACATTTCTTTGGCTTTACCAGCTATATTGAAGTCGTTCACTTCCCTACATCTTTCCTCCAACCAACATGCTTTATCCTTCCTTATCTTTCTTTGGATTTCTGATCTTAGATTCTTGTACCTTTCTTCCTTGGCTTTTGTACCTTTATCCCGTCTTAATTTGCTCTTTTCTTCAGCTAGTAAGAGAACCTCATTACTAATCCCGGGCTTTTTAACACGTCTTGTTGCTTTACCGACGGTTGCTTCAGCAGATTCTTTAAGTATTGTTTTATATACTGTCCACATAGTTTCTGATGAAGATTCTTTGTTAGTTTCTATTTCAGAGAGATTCTTCTTGAATTTGGTTTCTGATGAGTTCAAGAAAGACTGTAGAGTTTTGGGGTCTTCAAGTGATTTGACATTCAGTCTTCTTGATTTTGATATCTTGCTGACTTTAGACAGTTTGATTTGCATCTTTGCGACTAACAGTATGTGGTCCGTATCACAGTCTGCTCCTGGGAAAGCTTTGGCATCGTTGATGCTTGACTTCCACCTGCGCCTGATCAAGAAGTAATCGATTTGGTTCCTGTACCTGTCCACAGGAGATTTCCTCTTGTGGTGGTTGAACATTGTGTTTGTTAAAATAAGGTTATTGACATGACAGAATTCTGCTAATTTATCTCCACTCTCGTTTCTGTTGCCAAGGCCAAATTTGCCTACTCCACACCTGATGTCTTCACCTTTTTCCAATCTTAGCATTGAAGTCTCCCATGATTACTAGTGTGTCACCATTGTTTACTTTATCCACAGTTGTTTGTAGTAGGCCATAAAACTGTTCTATAGTGTTCATGTCATGTGTTGATGTGGGAGCATAGACCTGAATGATGGTGAGATGTTTTGGTTTTGCTTTCAGTCTTACCATCACAATTCTCTCTGATACTGGGGTGTATGCATCTAGTGCATTTCTGGCTTCATTTGTTTAGTAAGATGGCTACACCACTTTCACTGATGCCGCTATCCTTTCCTGAAAAGACAATAGTGGTGTCTCTGTCTGGTTTGAGTACTCCTTCCCCTTTCCATCTGGTTTCGCTTAGTCCAACTATGTTTAATTTCATACTCTTTAGTTCCTTTATCAGGAGTTCCAGTTTTCCTAGCTGGTTCATTGTTCTTACATTCCAGGTGCCTAAGCGTAGCACTTGCTTCTTGCATAGGTTAACAACAGACGGGATTGACGTCCTGCCATCAGATGATATCCTTTCCGAGGCGGAGTTTGGGGTACCACCGTCATGGGCATATCTTGCCGCTGTCGCCTCCTCTTCCCCAGTAGCATTACGGGTGGGCACCCTTGGGGTCTCAACTTCCACCTGAAAAGGCTTGATTTTCTTATTCAGTCTGTGCATCATGTGGTATTCTCGGGAAAATTTACGAAAGTGGGTTCCCGTTACCTTCTGCCTCACCCTGGTCTGTTCGTCCCCATTGAAATCAATGGGTTAACAACCCCCACCACGAGAAGGTGGACCAGGACGCTTGCCTGTATCTCACAAGTTGGTTGACCCCTCACTTAGCATGCTATTTCTGCATGCATGAAGCTACCAGGGCCAGTCTCCTCCTTGTATGGTCCATCACCAACAACAGTGATAAGAGACACAGGCTTATAGGGGTCTCTTTTAAAGGAAATACATTGAAATATAATATATATTGTTTAGTTTTGTATTTATCATATTGAACATAACCTTCTCCAGTTGACTGAGCATGCTTATCTCTTTTTATAGATAACCTGTGGCAACAAGTTTCTAACATACATTATATGAAAATAACTTTTCAATGTTTTCATGAAGTGATTTTCCATTTTTACTGTGCAGACAACCCGTGTCTCTCGAATCCTTGTCTAAACAAAGGAACATGCAAAATAAACAATGCATGGCTGACACTGCGAGGAATTGTTGTTCAAGCCCGCGTTTGGGATAGTGTTCTTTGGCAACATTTGCTACTATCCATTCAGGTTATTTGATGCTACCGTTAGGCCGGATATGCTCGGTTGATTTGTCGTAAAACCAACTTGGCTAACGTAAACTCCGTTTCAGAGTGTTTGGAGCATCTCTGCGTGACAGACATGAACGCTATACATAAAGCCACTATCATGTCAGCATTAATCCAGTCATTATTTCTGTCTCATGAATAAAAAGTATTGAAAACTGAAATTAAAAACATTATCAAACTTGTGGGTGAGATATAAGTAAGCATGTATGTTTTTTCTTGTATATTTTTAGTTGATCCATGTTTCTCGAAGCCGTGTCTAAACGAAGGGACGTGTACAACCTTTCCTGATTCTATCATCAACGGTACAGCTCTATTCAACTGCACATGTCATTCTGAATTCTTTGGAGAAACATGTGAAATCGGTATAGTAAATGTTGACGTTTGTAAACAAAATACATTGAAATATAAATATCTATTGTTTTCTTTTTTTATTCATCATATTGAACATATTATTCTCCATTTGACAGAGGATGCTAATGAGCGTCGGAACCTGACGGATACCTGTGCTATATAAATAACCATATTATTATTATTATAAAATCTCTTTAAAAATAATAAACTGTTGCAATGAGTTTTTTACAAACATTATGTAGAAAATAACTTTTCAACTGTTTCATGAAGTGATTTTTTTTTTTTTTTTACTTTTCAGATGAACCATGTTTCTTGAATCCTTGTCTAAACGAAGGAACATGCAAAAGAAACATAGCATGCACAGATCGTTCAAAGTGAAGCACGGATCAGAAATTGCATCTTTATTTGAAAAAAAAATCACTTTCTGTTTCACTTTCTTTAAGGAGATAAATAAGAGAATGTAATACTTTGGTTTCTTAATCGTGGACCCATGCTTTACAAGCCCTTGGGTTAATGGTGGAATATTTGTACCTCTAACTGATTATATTATAAATAGAATGTTTCAATTCAATTGCAAGTGCATAGCTCAGAATTTATTGGAGACAACTGTATAAGAGGAAGCAAATATGGCAATGTGCTGAGTGCTATGCAGATGAGTTTAAGCGATAAATTTCGTTTATGTCATTCGTTTTCATAATATTGTATTATTTATTTCCAGCCGTCAAAGTGGTATGACAAGACGAAGACGTCCTAGTTGAGTCGTTCAAACAATTGGCTGAAACTGTGAGGAATTCGGGATCGGGCCCCCGTTTGGGCTAGTGATCTTTGGCAACATTTGCTACTCTCCATACAGATTTGTTTAATGCTACCGTTAGGAAGGATATGCTCGGTTGATTGGTCGTAAAACCAACTTGGCTAACGCAAACTTCTTATCAGAGTGTTTGGAGCATTGCTGCTGACAGACATGATTGCTATACAAAAAGCCACTATCATGTCAGCATTATTCCATTCATTATTTCTGTCTCATGAATAAAAAGTATCAAAAACTGGAATCAAATAAACTATCAAACTTGTGGGTGCTATATAAGTATGTATGTATATTTGTTTCTTGTATATTTTTTTTCAGTTGATCCGTGTTTTTCCGATCCCTGTCTAAACTCGGGATCATGTACGACATTTCCTGATTCTATCATCAACGGAACAGCTCTATTCAACTGCACATGTCATTCAGAATTCTTTGGAGAAACATGTGAAAAAGGTAAGCACACTGATCACCACGACAGTATACATGGGCCTACAGATTAAACTCATTTATCGGTTGGTGTTCATTTTATCAATCATTTGAAATGCGATTATCAATCAAAAAACAAATCATTGGCATATGTATTTCGTTTTTCTCATTTATCTTCAGTTGATCCATGTTACTCGAATCCGTGTCTAAATGAAGGAACATGTACAACCTTTCCTGATTCTATCATCAACGGAACAGCTTTATTCAACTGTACATGTCATTCTGAATTCTTTGGAGAAACATGTGAAATCGGTAAATAAAACATTTTTAAAAGGAAATACATTGAAATATAAATATCTTTTGTTTTGTTTTTTATTCATCATATTGAACATATCATTCTCCAGTTGATTGAGCATGCCAATCCTTTTTTTAGAGATAAATTATGGCAATGAGTTTCTAACAGACATGTGGAAAATTACTTTTCGTCAATTGTTTACATAATATTGCTATATTTGTTTCAGTTGATCCGTGTTTTTCCGATCCCTGTCTAAACACGGGATCATGTACAACCTTTCCTGATTCTATCATCAACGGAACAGCTCTATTCAACTGCACATGTCATTCAGAATTCTTTGGAGAAACATGTGAAATTGGTAAGCAAACTGATTACTACGACAGTATACATGGGCCTACAGACTAAACTCTTTTATCGGTTGGTGTTCATATTGTCGATCGTTTGAAATGCTGTCATCAATCAGAAAATAAATCAATGGCCTTTTTTTTCTTCGTTTTTCTCATTTATTTTCAGTTGATCCATGCTTCTCGAATCCGTGTCTAAACGAAGGAACGTGTACATTTTTCCCTGATTCTATCATAAACAGAACAGCTCTATTCAACTGCACATGTCATTCAGAATTCTTTGGAGAAACATGTGAAATTGGTAAAATAACTAAGTTTAACAGTTGTAAAAGGAAATACATTGAAATATAAATATTTATTGTTTTGTTTTTTATTCATCATATTGAACATATCCTTCTCCAGTTGACTGAGCATGCCAATCCTTTTTTAGAAATAAATTATGGCAATGAGTTTCTAATAGACATTATGTGGAAAATTACTTTTCGTCAATTGTTAACATAATATTGCTATATTCGTTTCAGTCGATGCGGTACTATGACAAACCAAAGATGCCATGTCGAGTCGTTCAAACACTTGAGCGAAACTACAAGGAATTTGGGTTCTACCCCGCATTTGGGCTTGTGAACATTGGCAACATTTTCTACTCTCCACTCATGTTTTTAATGCTACCGTTAGGAAGGATTTGTCTGTTTGATTGGTCGTACAACAAACCTGGCTAGCGCAAACTTCGTATCAGAGTGTTTGGAGCATCGCCGCGTGACAGACATGAATGCTATACAAAAAGCCACTATCATGTCATCATTAATACAGTTACTATCGCTCTCTCATTAATATAAACAAATACTGAAACTAAATATACTCTCAACCTTTTAGGTCCCATATTAAACGTATGTACATTTGTCTCTTCTCTCTTTTTCAGTTGATCCGTGTTTCTCGGATCCGTGTCTAAACGAAGGAACATGTACAACCTTTCCTGATTCTATCATCAACGGAACAGCTCAATTCAACTGCACATGTCATTCTGAGTTCTTTGGAGAAACATGTGAAATCGGTAAATAATGTAATTTGACATTCATGAATGGATGATGATTTCTTTTCTTTTGAGTTGTATTGAACATTTGATATCATTTTCCATTGACTGAGCATGCAAAACTATTTTAGAAATGAACTGTGGCTACGATTTGTTAACATATATACATATATATGTAGAGTATAACTTATTAATGGTTTCAAGAAATAATTTCAATTTGTTTCTTTCCAGTTGACCCATGTTTCTTGAATCCGTGTCTTAACGAAGGGACGTGTACAACCTTTCCTGATTCTATCATCAACGGAACAGCTCTATTCAACTGCACATGTCATTCTGAATTCTTTGGAGATACATGTGAAAAAGGTATGTCGACTGATCACTACGACAGTATACATTCTCATCTCTTTTATCGGTTGGTGTACATTTTATCAATCGTTACTGACCAATGCTATTAAAGGTAATACAAAGTTTTGGTATGGGGTCATGAATTTGGTTCAAATGAACATATTGGAAGCATATGCGATCCTACAATATTCAGTGATGAAATTGTAAATAATACGCTCTTTATGTTGTATAGCTCCCTCTCAAGGTCAAGATATTAATTAAGCTGTAAAACAATGTTTCCTGACTAAAATCGACCGATTAGCTATTCCCTTTTGGAAATTCTATATCACAACTACATATTCTGAGATTTTCATGGTCGCAGCTACCTTTGTACAGCCGTAGGCGCTATTTAAAATTTATCAAAATTTACCAGGAGCACCAGTAAATTTTATATTCATTTTTTCTCGAAAGCAAAAGTGTTTTAGGGGCTAAATTTTCTAGTGCTTATACTACATCCACAGGGGTATCCAAATATATCAAAATTGTAAAGAATCACTATCCACCTATTTTTCAAAAATTCCCAAAACTCTGTATTACCTTTAATATGATATTAAACTTGGCATTAGTATTTTTTTCTTTAAATGTCAGTCGACCCATGCTTCTTGAATCCGTGTCTAAGCGGCGGAACATGCACAACTTTTCCTGAGTCTATTATCAACGGAACAGCTCTATTCAACTGTACATGTCATTCTGAATTCTTTGGAGAAACATGTGAAATAGGTACGTTCTTCAAAGGTCGGGTGACATCCAAATATAAGTTGATTTATGTTGATGTGCAGGGCTGCATACAACTTATATTTTGTTATCAAACATCTAAATAGATTTCATAGATTTTTATATATTGTTTAAAATAATTTGTTAAGACCTGCTGAGCTCCACCCTAAAAAAAGCTCCAAATATCATTCATCTTGTGACATATGTATATCAGTAGTGAGCTAATGAGAAACAGTGGTATGTAGCTTCACTTGTTTACAATAGACCATCAATACCAACATGGGAGTTGCTATGTCAGACGTGCTGTAGCATGGTATGAAAGAAAGCTATTCTTTTGTGAGCATGTACTGAGCTGGGTGAAGTTAAAAACTATTGTGTCGTTAATATTAGCTCACTAATGATTAACAGATGATGTCACAAGATGAATAAAAGGTCACCCGACCTTCAAGGAATTGTTTGCAATAAAAATTGATTTCTTTTAATCAAAATGTCGTAAATAAACTGGGAAATATCAATTTAATATAATATTTCTTGTCCGCAATTTGCCATGACACTTTCATCACGTTTTCCTTGAGTTTCTTTTCATCTATTTGCAGTCGACCCATGTTTCTTCGATCCGTGTCTAAATGAAGGAACATGCACAACATTTCCTGATTCTATCATCAACGGAACGGCTCTTTTCAACTGCACATGTCATTCTGAATTCTTCGGAGAAACATGTGAAATAGGTAAAAAAGAAATCCACTTTAATAGGATTTTTGATAGAAATAAATCTGTAGTGTTATAAATGTTAGAGATGTGTAATATTAATTTTTGTAACTACTCATTTAATTTAATATATTGCAGATCCTCATTCACTTACTATTACACGTCGGGGTACTCTGAATAACAAGTTAAATATTTAGTTTTGGAATTGATCATTCTCTTTTGTCATTATTCTTCAGTCGACCCGTGTTCCTTCGATCCGTGTCTAAACGAAGGAACATGTACAACTTTACCTTATTCTATCATCAACGGAACAGCTCTATTCAACTGCACATGTCATTCTGAATTCTTTGGAGAAACATGTGAAATAGGTACATTCAATAAACTAATCTGGAATGAAATGAAACTTGATTGTTTTGTTTTTTCAAATCAAAACTTTTGAAAGGAATTGAATCATATTTTCCATTTTGCAAGTAATTTAGTCTTTAGTCTGCCTCGATGCTTTCATCATATATTATTTGTGGTAACATCTCTTTTATTTGTCCTTTACAATTCAACACTATTGAAGTTCTGTCGAGCTCTCTATCTCTCTCTCTCTTTCTCTTGCCCTGCCTTTCCCCCTTCTCATTCGAGCTCTCTCTCTGTCTCTATATACATTTTGATATTTATAATATATGTATATATCCTTTTCTCTCTATCTCTCTTCACTTTCCAGTCGACCTATGTTTCTTGAATCCCTGTCTAAACGAAGGAGCATGTACAACCTTTCCTGATTCTATCATCAACGGAACAGCTCTATTCAACTGTACATGTCATTCTGAATTCTTCGGAGAAATATGTGAAATAGGTACGTTCATTAAGTAATTGTTTGAAATACAATTTGAATTCTTTTCATCAAAAGTTTGTTAATAAACTGGAAATATTATCAAAGTGATCAAAACAAAATTCAGCACTTTGCCATGACACTTTCATTTTGTTTTATTAATGTTTCTTTTCATTTATTTGCAGTTGACCCATGTTTCTTGAATCCCTGTCTAAACGGAGGAACATGTACAACCTTTCCTGATTCTATCATCAACGGAACAGCTCTATTCAACTGCACATGTCATTCTGAATTCTTTGGAGATACATGTGAAATAGGTATGTCGACTGATCACTATGATAGTATACATCATTCTCATCTCTTTTATCGGTTGGTGTTCATTTTATCAATCATTACTGAAATGCTTTTAATATGAAAATATACTTGGCATTATCATATCATTTTATTTCCATTAATCTCAGTCGACCCATGTTTCTCGAATCCATGTTTAAACACGGGAACATGCACAACTTTTCCTGATTCCATCATCAACGGAACAGCTCAATTCAACTGCACATGCCAGTCTAAATTTTTTGGAGATACATGTGAAAAAGGTATGCCGACTGATCAATACAACAGTATACCTTTGTATACTTATGTATGCCTAGAGACTTAACTCTTTTATCTGTTGGTCTTCATGCTATCAATCATTACTGGACAATGCTATCATGAATAAGAAAAAAGAAATAATTGGCATTAGAAATTCGTTTTTCTCATTGATCTTCAGTTGACCCGTGTTTCTACGATCCGTGTCTAAACGAAGGAACATGTACAACCTTTCCTGATTCTATCGTCAACGGAACAGCTCTATTCAACTGTTCATGTCATTCTGAATTCTTCGGAGAAACATGTGAGATAGGTACGTTCAATAAACTAATCTGGAATGAAATGAAACTTGATTGTTTTGTTTTTTCAAATCAAAACTTTTGAAAGGAATTGAATCATATTTTCCATTTTCCAAGTAATTTAGTCTTTAGTCTGCCTCGATGCTTTCATCATATATTATTTGTGGTAACATCTCTTTTATTTGTCCTTTACAATTCAACACTATTGAAGTTCTGTCGAGCTCTCTATCTCTCTCTCTCTTTCTCTTGCCCTGCCTCTCCCCTTCTCATTCGAGCTCTCTCTCTGTCTCTCTCTATATACATTTTGATATTTATAATATATGTATATATCCTTTTCTCTCTATCTCTCTTCACTTTCCAGTCGACCTATGTTTCTTGAATCCCTGTCTAAACGAAGGAGCATGTACAACCTTTCCTGATTCTATCATCAACGGAACAGCTCTATTCAACTGTACATGTCATTCTGAATTCTTCGGAGAAATATGTGAAATAGGTACGTTCATTAAGTAATTGTTTGAAATAAAATTTGAATTCTTTTCATCAAAAGTTTGTTAATAAACTGGAAATATTATCAAAGTGATCAAAACAAAATTCAGCACTTTGCCATGACACTTTCATTTTGTTTTATTAATGTTCCTTTTCATTTATTTGCAGTTGACCCATGTTTCTTGAATCCCTGTCTAAACGAAGGAACATGTACAACCTTTCCTGATTCTATCATCAACGGAACAGCTCTATTCAACTGCACATGTCATTCTGAATTCTTCGGAGAAACATGTGAAATAGGTAAAAAAGTAATCCACTTTAATAGGATTTTTGATAGAAATATATCTGTAGTGTTATAAATGTTAGAGATGTGTAATATTAATTTTTGTAACTACTCATTTAATTTAATATATTGCGGATCCTCATTCACTTACTATTACACGTCGGGGTACTCTGAATAACAAGTTAAATATTTAGTTTTGGAATTGATCATTCTCTTTTGTCATTATTCTTCAGTCGACCCTTGTTTCTTCGATCCGTGTCTAAACGAAGGAACATGTACAACTTTTCCTGATTCTATCATCAACGGAACAGCTCTATTCAACTGCACATGTCATTCTGAATTCTTTGGAGAAACATGTGAAATAGGTACGTTCAATAAACTAATCTGGAATGAAATGAAACTTGATTGTTTTGTTTTTTCAAATCAAAACTTTTGAAAGGAATTGAATCATATTTTCCATTTTCCAAGTAATTTAGTCTTTAGTCTGCCTCGATGCTTTCATCATATATTATTTGTGGTAACATCTCTTTTATTTGTCCTTTACAATTCAACACTATTGAAGTTCTGTCGAGCTCTCTATCTCTCTCTCTCTTTCTCTTGCCCTGCCTCTCCCCCTTCTCATTCGAGCTCTCTCTCTGTCTCTCTCTATATACATTTTGATATTTATAATATATGTATATATCCTTTTCTCTCTATCTCTCTTCACTTTCCAGTCGACCTATGTTTCTTGAATCCCTGTCTAAACGAAGGAGCATGTACAACCTTTCCTGATTCTATCATCAACGGAACAGCTCTATTCAACTGTACATGTCATTCTGAATTCTTCGGAGAAATATGTGAAATAGGTACGTTCATTAAGTAATTGTTTGAAATAAAATTTGAATTCTTTTCATCAAAAGTTTGTTAATAAACTGGAAATATTATCAAAGTGATCAAAACAAAATTCAGCACTTTGCCATGACACTTTCATTTTGTTTTATTAATGTTCCTTTTCATTTATTTGCAGTTGACCCATGTTTCTTGAATCCCTGTCTAAACGAAGGAACATGTACAACCTTTCCTGATTCTATCATCAACGGAACAGCTCTATTCAACTGCACATGTCATTCTGAATTCTTTGGAGATACATGTGAAATAGGTACGTCGACTGATCACTATGATAGTATACATCATTCTCATCTCTTTTATCGGTTGGTGTTCATTTTATCAATCATTACTGAAATGCTTTTAAATATAAAAATATACTTGGCATTATCATATCATTTTATTTCCATTAATCTCAGTCGACCCATGCTTCTCGAATCCATGTTTAAACACGGGAACATGCACAACTTTTCCTGATTCTATCATCAACGGAACAGCTCAATTCAACTGCACATGTCATTCTGAATTTTTTCGGAGAAACATGTGAAATAAGTACGTTCATTAAAGGCATCGTTTAAAATTTTAAATCTGAGATGCACGGCCCTACGTGTTATCAGTGTCAGTGATATGGTGTAATATTGAAGCCCTTAAAAAAGTGCGCTTCAAAATGATCAAGAAATACCTCAAAAAAGTAAAAAAATCTTTGAGTGACCGGTTTTACCATACTCGTTTTTCCCAATAGACCGTGGTGTTATGAAAAACGTTTATCAAACGGTTTTTAAAATGTGTAATTCCAATCATAAATATTTTGATAATCAGACAGGCGACCGGCTTGTAAAAGTCATGGGGTTCCTGACTAACCTAAAGGTTTATTATTATCATTGCAGCATGAGCTAAATCCAGAATTTTGTTTTAGAATCTGAGACAAAGTTACCGGATCCCTTTAAGTAATTGAATGTAATTAAAGTTTGATTTCATTTATTCAAAAGTTTGTTAATAAAATGGGAAAAGACATTGAATTAATAAATAAAAAATTATCAACAATGTGCCCTGATACTGATATCATCATGTTCTACTTGTGTTTCTTTTCCATTAATCTTCAGTCGACCCATGTTTCTTCGATCCGTGTCTAAACGAAGGAACATGTACAACCTTTCCTGATTCTATCATCAACGGAACAGCTTTATTCAACTGTACATGCCATTCAGAATTCATTGGTGGAACTTGCGAAAGAGGTAATAGCACAACAATAAAAGTAACATATTGTGACTGAACAAAAAGTTTCGAAATATTCAGTTTCCAAATAGTCAACTCATTAAAATGTTAATCATGTGCAGCAAGGTTAAACATCACATCAATGATAATTGCACTCCTGTTCATCTTATTGATTGTAGACAAACCTCGAAAACGTAATAGATTTATAGCCTTGTGGGTGTTTCATTACTAATCAACAAGCATTTTAAAAATCAATCATATTTTCCTACCTATACATACTGAACAATTTAATGATTAACAGCGATGTATTTCTCTCTAGTCAAATGTTAATGATCATTTATCTCGTTATATCTGTTTGTATTTTTTTACGGGATACAATCTTGTACCAGTTTTTCAATCCTATTTGCTGTATCCCCAGGCATATATTTCACCGAAATAAATACAAATACAAATATAACGTTACGTACTCTTTTTAATCTTTTTTGTCTCAATTTGCTTCAGCACACCCATGTTTGAACAACCCATGTATGAATGGAGGGATATGTACACCATATGGAAATGGGTTTACATGTGAGTGCACAGGCACGTTTGGTGGAGATAAATGTTCCGAAGGTAACAGTCTACTAGTATCATTTTTTATTATTTTGTATTCAATTTTATAGTTACTAAAAGAAAAATTAAAAAGTAGAAAAGAGAAAAGCCCATGTTATGTTTTATTATTATCAATGCTGGGGTAATACTTCGTATTATTCATGATGGATGCGTGATACACAATGGACAATATTGCATATTACTTGTGGAGAAGTCGAGGTACAGTGTGTCATTTATTTGACTCTAATTCTAAGGATTGAGGGTTCGAACCCCAGGCTGGCACTCATGTCCTTTGTCAAGACGTTACTCCACATTTGTCAATCTCCATCCAGGCGTAAAAGAGTACCTAGTAATTGCTGGGGTAATAGTAATTGCAGTAAGAGCAGTATTGATACTGATGTGGCTACCCTGGTTAAATAAAACCCAATCATAACAAAAATGATATTCCTCTCTTCCATCATTTTAGTCTATGTTGTCAGATTGTAATGGTTTGAAATGAAACCGGCAATCTGTAAGATAGATATGAACTGATGGAGAGATTGATCATAATTATTTGTAAATATATATTAAGCTGAACTCCATCGATCAAAACGGCTTTCATGAAATGAACTCGAAACACAACCGCAATGACTTTCATAACACTCAATGCAGGGGGCAATTTCGTTACTCCTTTGTTTATCCCATAGAAAATAAAGTTCAATTTACATTATTCGTTATTGTTTTGCTCACATTACATTATTCGTCATTGTTTTATTCGTCATTGTTTTATTCGTCATTGTTGTGTTCGCTCATTTCAGTAGGTGATGGACAAGGCTATATTGGTTTAATTTGATTTTTCGAAGGTCTTTGCGACCGTGTTTCGATTTCAATTTCAATAACGTGTTGTATTTCTTTTAAAAACCATGTTATCGTCATGTTTACACAATTCAAAGGGTGGTGGACGTGGCTATTAAACTGGCCTTGGATTAATTTTGGCAATCAGGTTATTGACAGAAAAGTCCACCACATGTCATTATTTCTGTACTCTATGCATATTTTAATTACTAAAAGAGCTGAATATGACTTCAAGCAGTTAGATATACGGTATGTTCTCATGTACATTCCTTGTTGTGTCATTTGTAGACTGAGGTGTTGGGTGTAGTAAATTTCGCTTGACTCTCTATCAAAGGGTTGATGATTCTAATCCCGGGGTGGCACAAACGTCCTTTGGCACGACGTACATTCACATGTGTCACTCTTCCACCAGGGTTAAATGGGTACCTGACATTTGCTGGGATGCTAATAAATACAGGGGTGTTTCACAAAGATCCTAGGCCATACTTAAGTCTAAGTTGGACTTAAACAATATGGAGAGCCATATGTAGCCTTAAAATAAAATATATTCAAAAGCAAAAAATTTAGGCTTTTCATATTTCCACATCAAGGACATGAAATGTCCTTGATAATAGGAAATATGAATGATTTAAATCAACAACTTATGCCTTTTAAAATAACTTTTACACAATATTTTCAAAGATGTTAACGGCTTTCCATAATTGTTAAGTCTAACTTGGAGATAAGTTCAACTTAGGATCTTTGTGAAACACCCCCAGGACTCACAGAAGGAGCAGTATCAATACTGATGGGTAAACATAACCCAATTGTTATTAATTGATTTTACAAAACGGATTCCTGTCTCTATATATTTTGAATGTTTTCTACAACACCAGAATGCTTCCTCTTTATCTAACTTTCAGATATAGGTGACTGCTCGAGTAGTCCATGCATAAATGGAGCCTGTAGTACGGATCAATATGGATGGTTATGTAACTGTGAAGAAGGCTATGCTGGAATCACATGTAGTGAGGGTAAGGCCAGAAACTTTCGTCATTTTAGCATAATCAAATAGATATGAGCAGAAGATAGAAATAGCCCCCCCCCCCCTCTCCCCACACACACACACACACACACCTTCCCTCGTTATTTTACCTTAAAATAGCTTGATCTTGAGCACCCTAGTGCAGCTAGGCTATTAAAGCCAGGATGATAATAGTATGTTGTACGTGCCTTCAGCACTCCCTGGGATTGATATGTGCGTATTATAAATGCCCGTATAAATGTAGCTTTTGATCTTCTTCTCCTCCTTCTTCTTCTTCTTCTTCTTCTTCTTCTTCTTCCCTCCTTCTCTTTCTTCTTCTCCCCTCCTTCTTCTGAATCTTCCTCATCTTCTTTTTTTTTCCTTCTTGATATTATTATCACATCATTTTTATTATCTTTATTATTATCCTCATAATTATTATTATTATTATTATCATCATCATCAAGATCATCATCGTTAGAAGTAGTAGTAGTAGAAGTAGTACTAGTAGTAGTAGTAGTAGTAGTAGTAGTAGTAGTAGTAATAGTAGTAGTAGTAGTATCATTTTTACTATCAAAATCACTCGAATATGAATAGTTGCCTCCAACAACTACTTTTTTGTTATTCTTTCTATAACGAGGTATATCTGTAGGGATTTCGCAGCCAACTGGAGAATTTAGTTGCTTTGGTACTGCCACTGAATTATAATTGAATCGAGTTTGAGCCCAATTTTATTTCATAATATGGGCATAAAGGCTACACATACAGAAATAGAGCGAAATAGAGCACTGTGCAGTAATAACATGTTAAATGATGTGCGAAAATCATATTGCATAGTGAGGAGAAACATAAGGGCCAGTTTACTTGAATCGGTTGCATAACAGGTTTTATTAATAATTGAATTATATATTCTTAAGATATTACTGCATCGGGATGATGCTACTAAGTTCATAACTGCAGAGTCTTTATTTTTCTGACACAATAAATGTGTTGATTGTTATTGTTTGTGCTCCCAGAGACAGATCCATGTGATGGAAGGCCTTGTGCTAATGGCGGTATATGTAATAAAAATGAGACTGACTATTTCTGCGTGTGCCCCATTACACACTCTGGCAAGAACTGTCAAACTGGTAAGTTCAGAAGTAAGGTTTAATTGTTTTCTCTTCAAACATCCCTTAAAATACAAATTTCCCGACAAAAGTTATACCATATGGCTATTTCTATAGCATCATCAATGAAACAATAAAACATAATTACTACGAATTATGTTATACTCCAGGGTATCGTTTTATGGTCTGACCGAGCACATCTTTTAAGAGCCATTTCTTTCTTCAAAACTACGATTAGGAATCATACCAAATGTTATGGTTGTCATATTCCGTATGTGCCTTTTTATTGGTATTCCTATGTGGTATAAAAGATATTTGATAATTTTGTAACTAAATTCTTAGTCTAACATAATATTGTTATATCGAAATTGGTCTATGGTGTAGTAACTTTCAAACTTCGCATTACCTGTGGTCAAAACTCTCCTCCGAATAAATTTTGTTTGGTTCCCATCAAATAATGCATTACAAACTGCCAGTTTTAAATAAGACACTTGTAGGTCATATGAATTTAAAAGCCTTAAAAGTTTAAATAAAAAGGTCAAGCGCTTTCTGTTGTGTTTTTGTTTTCATCTAACTATCTGATTGCTCTGATGTGTATGATGTTTTAATAATGCCATCAATTTTACTATGCCCGTTCACACGTCGTGAGTATTGATAAGTGGCTCCACTTACTGTATTTGATTAAACTTTGGTGCCAATCCGATGTGAACAGATTTTACCATTTTACACATTTAGATTGTCTTTATCACCAGCATGGGATCCTATCATTTAAAGGGCAAAGGCTGTCGACTTTGAGGAGAGAGTTTGATGTTGCTCACTGATCTCTGAAGAGTTATGGATGTTCCGCCCCTCAATCAAAAATTACAGAATACATTGTACATTGAATATTTCTGATCACTATAGATCGATGTACCTGTTGATGGCTATTAAGCAAGTGCTCTATAGCCTGTAACATATTATCATGCCATGTTCGACTCCGAAATAATTTCTTCTTGTGGATGTTGATTTGAGATAGGATAAACGCTATAACATAATACGAACACTATCATCCTTTCAAATGCCTTTTAGAAATTTGTTTTGGATGACGCTCTGCCCCAAAGATAAAATTCTTAGTAAACATCGGTGTTCTAAACAGCATAACAACGACAAATATTGTACAACTTCCGAAAAGGAAAATAATTGTTGTTTATTCAGCACGTGACGTGTAGTGTTTGCTATTATAGTATTTATTCATTCAGTACACATTTAACAAAGAGCATAGAAGAAGAAAAACTATTCATTGCAAAGGATGTTTAAATCCATCAATTGCTCCACCAAACACGAATGTGGAAATGTTTACTCCCTTTTCATTGAACTATCTATTATCAAAACATACTTTACAAGACGGCAAAATCAGTACAAGATATATGTTATTTGTTTTCATGTCCATCTTCTTATCATCACAGCTACACCATGTACGATTAATTCATGTAAGAATGGCGGAACGTGCATGTACTCTGGTGATGACTACACGTGTTCATGTACAACTCAGTGGACAGGAACAAATTGCATAGAAGGTAGGTACATTCATTGACAAGAACAGGGAGTATTGTAATAATGATTAGAATGCGGAAAAAAACTAAAGAAGAAATTCGAGTTAGAGTTTGAACTGTACTTGTCAGGACATTATACTTTTATTATTTATAACCATGTATCCATAGAGATCGTATCAACGTACTAATATTTGAATGAGCACGAAGGAAATGGACGTTAATTTTAAAAATACAGTTCTCCAAATGGTATCCAGGCAACAAAGTGAATGTCCCAGAATAGTAATATTTCTAACTGTTACTTCTTCTCTGTACTTGTTGTTACTGCTGCTAGTGGTGATAGTGTTAGGTTATTTTTCTTAGTTTATTAACTTTCCATCAAGACCAGATAACAAAGACGATAGCAATTTATTGTGTGGTTTTTCTAGTACAGTATTTTCTGTAAGCAGTAAAAAAATGTGTTTATCCAACATTACAAATTTTCTGATAGATAACAATTTGTTCAACCTTACCCAGTCACTTAGTAAGAGATAATCAAGATGTCTTATCATTTCCCCTTGTTATGATATATTGTTCCTATTATTCAACATGACTTTCAACGGTCAGCATGGTCAGAATTTATACTGTGGTGTAATCTTCTCTCCTCAGAAAGTCCATGTCATACTAGTCCGTGTAATAATGGCGGAGAATGCAGTCATGCGAATGGACGCGCTTACTGTACATGCAGTGTAGGATGGACAGGACCAACCTGTGTAAAACGTAAGTATTGCCTGCTATCTGGCCTAGAGACCGACATGCAGGTCCCCTAGATTGTCGGTCTCCTGGGCCGAGTGTCTCGTCTTCTATTTGACAAATTGTCAGAAGGCCCTTCATACCAACACTGTCGATTTCGTGGGCTGTCACTCTAGTTAGCTGGCTTAGTGTAATACCAATTCCAGGTGGTATCTAAATATAATTTTGTAATTTTATGTTTCTTTTGATTGTTTTAATCAAAAAGCTATCTGCATATGTTACACTGGTCAAAAATGGTTCTCATACTTTTTTTGTACTTGTATACCAAATTTTGTTTGTGGTTTATCAATTGTAAACTCTTATTTTACTCTCATGTTTCCTCCTTCTACTTCTTCTCCTTCTGTGTCTTCTTCTCTTTCATTCTTTTTTCATCCTTGTTCTTCTTTATTTCTTTTTTTTTCTTCATTTTATTTGTTCCCTCTTCATCTTTTTAAAATAATGTAATCATATGAAAATCACTACTGAACGTCTTAATTCTATATTTCCTATTTTACGTCGTACTATCTGCATGTTTTTATATTTTGCAATTTTACTTGTAAATTCAAAATGTATCAGCTTTCAGCTGTAACTTTGATTTGTTTATTATTAAACCTTGTCAAATCAAATCAAATCAAGTCTTTTGTTTATAAGCATGCTGTTTTGATATCATCCGTTTGATTTGCCTGTCATCAAAACGGATTTACATTGTTGCTTGTGAGTATCCATGGATATATTGATGTTGTATTGTTACAGCTCTTCACTGTGTGTCTTCACCCTGCCGTAATGGAGGTACTTGTGAGGAGTGTGGTCAAGGATTCTGCTGCGTGTGTGTCGAGGGGCTCAGCGGAATAAGATGCGAAATGGGTAACTTAAAGCTCCACTCAACTATTTATAGCTAATTGCGCCCTCTACATAACAAACAATGCATAATCGGTGACCATTGGTCCCTCATGATCCTTTTTTCCTTATGTTAATTGAGAGCTGGTTTGATGAGATAACCACCTGTCCAGTGACCTTGCAGGGTAGTCTAGTCCCTCCTGTACATTAGTAATGATGGGCTTTAAAGGAGACATTTGAAAATTCAAAATCTCTTTATAGAAAAATATTATGATACAATGGATCCTTGTTGCTGTTTTCACTGTACTCCCGATATCATATATACACCCAGCAAACAAAAAAGTGGACACTCTTTCATGTTTGAAATTTTCATATAAACCGTCAATAAAATATGTATTAATTTAAAGAAAAATAATACTCTTCCGAAATCAGTTAAGATCATTTTCCTTTACTTTCGCACTTGGATGGGAAAATTATCTAAAATTGCAAACTGAAAAAAGTAGAATATCCTAGCTATTAATAGCATCCACTTTTGATTTCTTTATGAGTGTATATCTGGTAGCATATACATGATAAGGAAGCTGTATCTGCTCTCATATAACCCATGGTTTAAAAAAACTCGGTGACTGCAGATTCATTACATCCTGTAAGTTAATTGTGATTTAACTGTATATTTATCTTACATGGAAATAGACCAGAAAGGCTCTAAATGGTAACACTACTGACGATCTGCTGTCGTATGTAGCTGTAAATAACCTCTTTCCCTGAATTTTCATCTTGTTTCCCTTAGAGTGGTCAGCGAATCACACGGACTTCAATTCATCATCGTTTTCAAATTGGACTGGGACATCGCGGACCCTCGTTTCATCAATGTCATATTCGATATCATTCCCAATTGCCTTGTCCCTTTCATCATCATCATCATCATCACCGTTGTATCGTACGTCTAGCCCACAACCATTGTTATATGTCAGTGAAAATTTCTTTCATGAATCGTTACTTGGCTCATTTCATCCATCGTTTTCGTCTCATACAGGAACACCACCACCATCACCACCTCCATCATCATCTCACTTAATTGTCTCATCTTCTGTACCCCCTTCATCTCATCTCACATCATCTTCATTCTCATCTCTTTCTTCTATTAATACCGTCCTTACTAAGTCAATCCAGTCGAAGCAATTCCTTTCATCAACAACTTTGAAAACAAGTCTGCTACCGACACCACTCAGTGTTTTACAATCGATCGACCGTCTCCCCTCATCCTCTCATTCTTCCTTAAGCTTAACAACTACATCCAATTCTCCTTTCAAAGCAAACACCTCTCATTCATTAATACATTTCCCATCTGCTACTAGCACCATGCCATCTAATTATCTACAGGAGTCTCCTTCAACGTTGTCTTCACAGACTTCATTCAATCAGTCTATCGAACTTTCTTCTCGTCTTCAGTCACATCCAACTCGTTCCATAAACTTATTGCCATCACCAACTACTTATTATTCTCACTCAACCTACCTATCATCTTCTCTTTTATCCTCGTATTCCCAGTCCTTCTCTTCCTCTCTTATCTCCTCTTCTTCCTCATTTCTCTTTTCTTCGTCTACTTCCGATGTATCCTTCTTACCGTCCCCTTCTTCTCCCTTCACCTCAACACCATCCCCTCCTCCTGCCACTTTTTCCTTTTCCCCTCCCTCCTTCTCCTCTGCATCCTCAACATTTCCCTTCTCATCATCATCCTTACTGTTCCTTTCTTCTTCCTCTTCCTTATCCTCCTCAATGTTCTTCTCCTCCTTTTCTCCTTCATTTCATTCCTCTTTCTCACTACCTCCCTCATCCTCTTCCTCTTCCCTATCTTCATCCCTCTTATACTCTTCGTTTTCATCCCGAACTCTCGAACCATTTGTCCCCATGATGACATCAAGTGTATCAACCGAGACAGCGATGCCAACATTACAAACCGGTATGCATTGAGTTTACTTTGGTAACTGTCATTATGCCTGGTGTATATTGATCAAAGTTTTTGAAGTCTGTGAGCTTTTTCAAGGAAGCTTTTATTAAACGATTTATTTCCATGCCACACTCTGTCCTACTCAAGACAGAACAAGATATTGATGCCCTCTCCTTCTATCAATTTTGTGGTGGATCTTGGTTAGTGATGGGTATAGGACACGTACCCCTCCCAGCGAAATGCAACCTGTCACACCTTTTATACAAGGAAAATAAATGTGTCATACTTTGTGGATGTGTTTCACCTTTCTCAACCGTTAGACGATATAAAATGGGCAAAATGATGCAAATATTCAAAAGATAATAATGTGTGTAGTTTATAATATAGTATTAATGACTGCTTTGAGAGAAATAGTTGTTTTATTACGCTCAAGGGAAGGTTAGAATTGTGCTATTCCCCGAGGCTTGCCGAGGGGAATAGCCCAATTGTAACCTTCCCGAGAGCGTATGAAAACAACTATTTCTTGAATATTAAAGCAGTCATTAATACTTTTATATGCCGAAAAAAAATAGACTAAAAAATAATTTACATTTTTGTCGAAGACGGGATTCGAACTCTTGCGTACAACAAGAGGTGTATCGAAAACCAACGCTTAGACCACTCGGCTATCGCGCGCCGTTAACATGCTTGGCAGTTTTCACCAATATATACATTAAAATGGATTGAAAACGGCTCCGCGTGAGGGATGCTTCGCAAAAGCTCCATGAAACGGACCCTTCTTTTACTTTTGCAATGCATATTGGCACGAACTTAGATCAAGATCTATCGGCAGATGTTGTTTTTTTGTTTTTGAGAGTTAATTTTCGTCTTCATGTCAACAATGCAAGATAAAATTGTCGGTAAGATCGATCGAGATTCAATTTGAAATATATAATATATAAATATTGAAATTGCCGACCAATTTTTCGCACACGTATGGTATCCTCCATCGCTCAAACCATTTTTTAACATGTAAACCTATGGGGTAACCATGGAGACTGACCTATTTTTTTAATAACCATGGTTATTAAAAATATTGAAATGTTTTAAGCATGGTTACCGGGAATTTTACAGGAACAGTTGAAGTTTATGAATGCAATTCGACCAATCAGATGGCTGGATTTCTTAAGTGAGGTATATAAACCATTCTGGTCTTCACATAATGAACTATGTTTATTATCCATGGACATTCTAATCCAGGATGTTATAATGATTTCGATGCTTCCATTTACCCAAGTTATAGATTGTGGAGGGTTGATCTACTTCGCATCGACTGACCTGCTGACGATAGAGTCTCCCAACTACCCTAACCCATATCCGCCAAATCTCCACTGCTTATGGAGTGTACATGGAACCCAAGGTTCTACAATCAAGGGTACATTCATCAGTTTTCATTTACACACTTCATCTGCATCCCTCGCTGTCTATGATAGGCTTGGTGATGATGATGCGACTCGGATTCTCTCTGCGACTGGTTTTGTGATACCGCCCTCATTCACAGCATCTCAAGCTATCAATGTGGTCTTCACTACTGGACCAATCACACAACAGAGTGGTGGCTTTTCACTCGTTCTGGTGCTAACAGGTATGTACATCTTAAAAGTATTACTCTCTACCTAATCATCATCCATCTACAGACTTAGTTTGATTTTTAAATTGAATGGCAACTTTTATTAACGTCATGACAATATGTTGAAATCAGATTTGAAAAAGACTTGAATATGTAATGGGTATTTGGCTTTGTATCGCAAAAAGTTGAGATCATTACATTCATGTGAATTCTTGTATTTCACAGCTGTATGCAGTCCGACTGTCTGTCATAATGATGGTGCATGTTTGGAAACAAGTGAGGGCATTGTGTACTGCGTCTGTCAACCTGGATTTACGGGAATAACATGTGAAAGTCGTGAAAGTGGTATGTCTTATACTTTTATCTATCAGGGGATAATGCAGAAGTACCATCATCTTCTTTTTCTTGTATTCCTTTTTCACTCTTATTTCACCTATCGATGTGAGAAGTATATAGCCTCGCCACTTTTGTAATGCTAAATGCTTTATAACAAAATTCGTCGCCATGATCGCCAACAGTTCTTAAACGTACGCTCTGGTACATGCGCTCCAGCGGTTAATAGTAACAGGAACAATATTTTCTATATAATGCTATAAGAATGACGATTCAATGGGAAAGTTAACGATATGAATATTAGATGTGACTGCTCCATTTTAATTTCATATCTATGCATTTGTATTTTTTTCCATGGTGTTTAATCAGACACTATTGTGATTTTTGTATTGGTGCTCTTTTTCAATTTGAATGGCTTCAGCTTTCGAGCAGGTTTTTTACACTAAAGCAATAACCCAACAATTCCCGTGAATAGAAATTTGTTTGAAATGGGAGAGCGTTTTTACATTGTTTTTCCTATGAATGATGTTTTGATTTGCCAAAGGAAAGGGTCCGGATCATTAATGCAGAAATGTATACAAAAACGGTAGACATCTCATTTCTATTCTCTCTGATTATTTATATAATATTCATTCCATTTAACAGGTACCAAATTGTTTGCTCATTATCAAAATAGTATCTGTGATTTGTGATCCACAGAGACCATCTCGAATAACAACCTATCCAGTACAGGATCGCTTCATGTAGAGACATGGGCCATAGTCCTGATCAGTGTGGTAGTCATTCTCCTCGTCATCCTGGCAATCGTTGTCTGGTTAGTACACCACCGACAGCCATGTCGAGGACCCATTGTTGCTGACTACCACGCTTGGCAGCTTCACAAGATCTCCGCAATACCCGCCATGGGCCCTGATTCACAAACATCTAGTCCTAGAGACGACACTAACATTGAACCAACACCGATGATTAGACGCAAAGATCCATCACCTATCGCTCGTATCGCCCCAATACATTCAGGTGTGCATTTATATTTTCCTAAAAGACAAAATCTATTAAGAACGTTTAGCGTATATTATAACAACGATGGAAAAAAGAAGAATCGGGCAAAAGAAATACTATCAAATTAACACGAATAGAACAAAATTAACTGAGGGGCAATTCGAGTAGATAAATCGTGAGGCTACTAGATTTGCCTTCGGTTTTTTTTTCTTTTCTTTAGCGTCTGTGTTTTTAGGCGTGCAGGGAATGCGGTCTTTAATAACTATGTTTAAGATAGTGTTTTCCCTTTTAATTCATGATGACTATTTTTCCGAGATTTAAACTTCTTGGCGTATTCTCATCAAAATCATTTTTTGGTTAAATATAGGAACCAATCAAGGACAAATATGGATGTCCACTCAAAATTGATACAATTGTATCATTTACAAAATGGGATACCCTTGTGACCAAAGTGAATAATACTCAATCCGCTTAACATTACTATGCTTTACATTATTATGCACATAATGCTAGTTACATAAATATCAGGAAATAACTTATTATACTGACTGTATCTCCTCAAATTCCCAATACTATGGGACTACTGATATATGATGAAAACTGCCTTCATTTGTCCGTATAGTTTGGTATAATGGTATAGGCCTACTTTGTGTATCATTTTATAATCATTCGGGTACACGCATCTTTTTTCTTTATAATATGGATTGAATCAGTATTGATTTAATCCGAGTCGATATGTTATTGTTTCCAACCTTTATCTGCAGAGTCTGATATAGAGCCGACATTGAACAGCGCTGATCGAGGTCGCCTTGGTGACATCGATGGGAGTCCATGGTTACCTACCAGGAGAATGTTCCGTCACATCAAATGGAATTCAAGTCATTCACCAAATCATTCTTACAAAATAGCTCAATCACTCAATCCAAGCGACGATGATGCCATGAACGACACCGTGCTTGAAACTATGCTCGACAAAAAAGAGGTGTACCATCCTGACTTCCATATCGATTTCAATGATGACGAGGACGAGGACGACGTCGAAAACGATGACGAAATCGGAAATGAGGATGGAGTAATAAACGATTCCAAGATCGAAAAAGAGCATGAAGTAGAAACCGACGACGACGTAGGAAATGACAACGTTGAAAGCAATGATGATGTCGAAAACGATGATGTAAACAATGACCATGCTGAATATGTTGTAAATGACGATGACGTTGACGATAAAGAAGAGGATGTTGATGGAGATGCTAAGGATGATGCTTCTAGCATGGGGCTTGATGTTGATGGAGATGCTAAGGATGATACTTCGAGTATGGGGCTTGATGAGTTCATGATTGATATGCTAAGAAAGAAAGACGAGGAAACAGAGAAGATTGAGCACACCTTGACTAGACTTTAGATTAGACTTTAGATTAGACAGAGGGTTAATTGGCACCATGACATAGCATACAGCCACTCAGACGTTTCCATCCATTACACCGTGTGATCTCGTATTAAGACAGTTATTGTAAATGGAGAGAAAAGATGAGCCTGAAATTCATACAGATTGTTTGCACCTTTAAATAAAGACCAGCATTTCATTGAATGGGCGACCGACCAGAAAGGCAATATCTAACAATGGCGAAACAATCAAAGTTATAGCGTCAACTAAGAACAATAATTCTTCATTGGCTTACATCATTTTTTATATTATTATTTTATTTCATTTTTTTTGTTTTTTTGTTTCAGTTCACTTTGAAAATTAAGGACCACCACTGATTCACTTATGCTAATAAGCATGATTTTCAGCAGAAACCGATCCACAATTCTTTAAAGGAGAAACAGTTTTTTTCGTAATGGCTTTTGACAACCAAAAGAAGTTATCACATTTATAGGTGCTAGTTTACTTGGATAACCCCTGACAAGCAAATAAAACGGGGAGTCAGATACTTTCAGGTGGCTGTGGGGTATAAGCTTTGAAAGGGCGGTGCACAATAACACACGAGAGACATATTAAGCTGCACTTGGTTTTAAAAAATACAAGAGCCGATATGATGGATTGTGCCTCTCCCTGGTGGAAACTACTGGAAAGTTTCCTCATAATCCGACTAAAAGACTTAAAATCCCTCACAAATTTGGTATGTTGAAATAAGACTGTTCACAAGAGTCGTCGGGAAAACATTTTGTAATTCAGGGACCTGTATTTTAAATCAAAACAAATCAATCGCAACTTAGAATTAATTGCAACTGTGTCTTTTAAAGATACGAGTTGCGATTAGCATTAAGTTGCAAATGATTTAAATAAATCGCAATTCTTTATAATACAGGTCCCTGGTGGGTGAAAAGTTATATTGTGTAATTGTTTTAACCGTGACATAAATGTTACATTGTGTGGGCACTGTTTTATATTGGTGAAGGCTCTTCACTCTCATAATAGAGGTTTTAGGTTCGATCCTCGCTCGGTACTTACACCCTTGGAGAATGTGTCGTTTGTCCGTTTCTGCCATATATATCGAAATTGATCTCTAACCGGGTGTAAACGAGTACATGGCAATGTAGGGCCCTCAGGAAGAGGTGTATTAATGCTGATATGCCTACCCTGACTAAGTAAGGCATTATTGTTACTATTCATGTATTAGTGTTTTATATGGAACTATAATCTAATGCTTTAAATTAAATCATGTTTAAATTATATTTCTATTTCATAAGCTTATCAGTCAGTTCTAGACTGATGCACATGAATATTTTGTAAAGATACTTTACAAGTCTTATGTTTGAAATGTTGTGAATCCAATTTTACTGTGTAAAAGAATGAAAAGTATATGTATGTTACTTCAAATTTGGATGTTACTTAAATTTCGTTTGGAGTAATTCATGATTCAACAATATTTCTATCATGTTGAGTATTTTGTCCACAGAAATATATATTTCTTTAAAGATTTGTAATTGATGTATAGTATTTCGAAGACCCGAGGACAGATACAAAATGTGTTTAATAATACAGTCCGTTTAATAGACTGCAATGAAGTTGTTTCATTTCTTCAGGAACTCATCAATTCCTAATGAACATTATAGGCATGGCTGTTTTGCTGTTAAATGCGTGGTATCTCCTAATACCAAAATTGATAAATAATGGGAACTTTACATTTTGTGCAATAAAGTGTGATAAAAGGCTTACATTTATTTTCTAAATGTAACAATTTTATCAAGACGTCTAGGATGCAATAGATTTCAATTGATAATCTACTATTGACTCTAAAACATCACAATTTTCCTTTGTTTGTATTACAAAACTTAGTTTCTGTTTAATTTCTTTCAAATCCAATATTGTGCTTTGCTTTACACATCCTCGTGTATCTTTGTATAATTAATTTAAATATTTTTGTATTTTACACTACATTACAATGATACATCAACTGATTTTCAGCAAAGTATTTGAGTTATCTTTTACTTCTACTTTGCATAATCATAAACGTTTTGTTTTCAAAGCTTTACACTTCTATTAAAGTATGATTTTGATTTGTAATGTTTATATACTTCAAATAGCGACTTATCAAGTCTTTTTTTTAAATAGATGATCCTATTTCATGTCCCTTTTTCGTTGTAAACATTGCGCAATTATCTTTAATAAACCAATTAATTTGAACTGAACAAGATTTTGGTTTGTGAATAGTTTAGGGAATGACTGTATATATGCATCAAAGATTTGTATGAATGATTGTACCATGTTGAGTTTTTAGCGTACGCCTTAGTTCCTAGCATGTACAATCTAAAATGATCGTGTTCAATATACTCTCTCCTTCTACCTTCTCATTTCTCTTTCTCTCCTACACACACACATGCATACACACATCTCCATCTCAACTCCTTTTCTGGTTCTCTCTTCCTCAGTCTCTATCACTCCCTGTCATCTGCCTTTTCAACCCCCTCCCCTCTGCCTTTTCAACCACCTCCCCCTCCCTTTCACCCCCCCCCCCTCTCTCTCCGTAGATTCTGACATCCCCATGTTCATCTTTATCTGTGTAAGGAACATATATTAAGTTTATTTTAGTATCTTAGGTTATGCATTTAAAAATTAAAAAATAAATAAACTATCAAGTCACTGGATATATCAAATTTCATGTCAATGACACAAATATTTAATCTTTACTATGGAAAGACAAATTTCACAAATATTAACCTTTAATTTTCCACATAGAATATCAGCATACATAATAGCATGGTATATTGTTTACATACTCTCAATTACATACCTTGTACACCATGTACATCTTCCAGCACATGACATTTTTAACAACCAAGACTTGGGTATGGTGCATGTTCAATCAGTGAAAAGTATTGGTAGGGTTACGGTTAGCCAATAATATTCTGTTCTTGATGTAACGTCTCTATGCGCTTCCAAAGAGATTAGGAAATTATTATAGTTTTAGCTCGGCAGCCGTAACCAGCGCACAGCGCATTTCAAGGAATACTTCTTCCAGGTACCCATTTACCTCACCTCTGGGCAGAGTGTGGCAAAATGTAGATTAATGATAAAAGGTTAGGCATATGTTAGGAAAGAGTTGGATTAGACTTTTGGCCCGAGTTTTGGCCCGAATCTTGGTTGTCAAAAAGAAGCATTTCTGGGACAGTACATTGTGGATATCTCTAAGTACATGTATATCTGCATACAAATAAATATAATCTATATATTTAATTTTTTAAACAGTACCAGGCAGAAATACTGACATCAAGGGTTTATATATTATACCAAAGTGATCTTGAAAACTAACCCAAAATTATATTGATGGATGGGAAACCATTTCACACGGAGAGATCAACATTATGTGAGTCTTTCGAAAAAGCATATTTGGCAAAATGGAAACTTCAAACCATAACAAACTGCTAAAACATATATATGTTGTACATGTATATAAATACTAGCTTAAATAGTCACATCAGTAATTGCAATAATCTATGTATTAGGAGTAAATAACACACTGAAATTCCTTGTAGACATTACAACCCCTGGAGTAGTACCTACTGTTATTATCTATGTGGAGTGACAGATGCTTTTTCAAAGGAATATGGAAACATATATTATAACCTTCTTTATTGGAAGTGCAACAAATTATTGTTCCATGATTTTAATATCAACCAATATTCAACACGAAAACGTCAAAAATGTACAAGTAGATTGTTACTCTTGTAAAGAAAACCTTCCTGGAGTAACTTCAATGGGGCTCTGTAATATACAATATAATTATCCTATTCATGGTATTTTACTAAGGAGTTTGGAATTGAATTTAAAATATGTTCCCTTATTACAAAAACCACTGATTTTGTACTTTAAAAACACACAATATTTGATTTTTGTGAATGTTTTGCCAATAGACCACTTCATGGTAACTATCAGTCTGTGGACACAACACAGACCTAAAAAGAAGACATAATTTTCAGCAGTCATGCATACCATGGTACACATTTTGAAGGAGAGTGAACATTGCATGGATCTTGCAATTTTCACTTTTACTAAAACTGGTTATTCACAGAGAGACAATCGCACATAAAATGCCTTGTCTTGGGACATAAATCTGGGTATGGAATTCAAGCTAAACCATGAATATACCACATGTAACTAAATAAAATTAGAAACTGATGAAGGGCTTGTACAGATATGATTTGGTAAACTGTCAAAAAAAGCTATCATGTTTGTTTTTTGTAATTTGTAAATGATTGGCAACTGCGTGCAACAAAGGACTTGCACGTATTGATTGAGCACTGTGTTATACGATGCAGAAATGTGATGTCCATTACACTTTACATCATATAAAAAAAACTGGCCCTATATCTGAAAAAGCTTGAAGGGTGACATTACCGATTTCAACAACACATGACCTTAATGGGCATGCCATGAATCCACACAAGTTGTACGGAATGGACCAACAACAAAGGTTAGAATTTTCATGGGATGACAACATACCCAACGAAGCTTCCCAATCGTCCTTCAACACAAACATTGCTATCATTCTTATCACTTTGGCGAGCATAATGTGTCAAAGAAGATTGTGTATCACTGTCCATAAAGGTAAGGTAAAGTTTAATCTGTTATGCACAGGATGTCTTTTGAGTCAATACCAAATTCATTCAATTTTCCCTTAAACAATCATGTCAGACCTCTTAGTGCGGTATGGTATGTAATCCTGTAGGATTTTTTGGCCAAAGTTGATTTTGTTGTTGTTGCTGTTTTGGTTTCAAAAGCGTCCAATTGGCCAAAATTGACGGGGTTCAAATTTTCAGACCCCTCCTTCATTTCCTGAGGGGTCCATATTGGGCGCCAAAATGGCATATATAACGGAAAAATTTGGTGTCTTCGGGAAAATTTGAACCCCATCAATTTCTGACCCTATAGCTTGGACCCCAATGATTCCAAAAATTGCAACAAACAAAAATCAACTTTGGCACAAAAATCCTACGGGAGCTGTTTCAGTGACATACACTACCACACTATCTGTACAACATCTCAATGTTCTGACATTTTTTAGCACAACTATGTGAAAGACCTTGAGATGTGATAAAGTGATACATTTAATTGCCTGTATCGGAACATAGGGATATCAGAATTTTCCAATATATGCCTAGATAGAGTACTCTCATTATGAGGAGCAAATACTCAAAAAGACATTGGTAAAGTAAATGGAAGCCTTTCACAGAGAAATGATATCATTAGTAGAAACAATATTGGTTCCAAGTGTACACGGGACACTTAGAAATGTTATTGTATCACTTACTTTCTATTGAAGGTGTAATTCCTTGCACCTCTATGAAGAAAGACATGTACATGTACCTTTGTTTATTGCCAAATGAACATGCAGAATTTAATGAGAATCGACTTAGATGTACAAGACACTTCATGGAGTGTAGAGAGAGTTGATTTACAGCTGACCATACAGGAAGCAGAAACTGTGTATAATAGATATGACACAATATTTGAATGAATGGGAAAGTTTCCTTCAGCCATTCAGCCTGCTGCCTGTGTAGCCAATCAGTATCAGTTAAATCATTAAAAACTGATACATATTTCTAGAATTTAGCATTTTATGATGTATTCAAGCTGAATTTTGGATATTGAAATACATGTACATGATGTATTAGCACAAGGTTGCAATTAATAGTCACTAAGGTCTTGAGGTAAAAACATCTTTAACTTTGAATACCTGTAATTAAGTGGCTTGATCATACACTGAGCAATTACTGAGATTTAAATATATTATTTTTTTTTGGATACAGATCAAAACCTCAGTTTTTAAATGCATGCGAATCCAAAAATACCATTAACACGGTTGAGCATCGTGTGTGTGAACAATAGTGAGATTTAAATCTCAATCTTTTTTATCCCAAGTTGCACCACACTTGGGGTGAGGGCCCCACAACTTGGGTCTGTATTCAGGAATGGACTACACAGGTGTCATTATCTCGGTGAGAGTTTTTCCAGCGTGTGAACGAGCGCAAGAAAAGTGAGATTTTGATTGTCATCAGAATCTCTCTTTCTGGAACTTCTTGGAAGCGTGTGAATGCTCCAGTGTGAGCATGATCTATTCCCAGTTTAGATTTATGAACGACTCTCACTCTTACATTAACTTGTTTTAAGATTTAAAAAATTGAATTTCAATGTGTTTATAAAACATAATATATGATGCTATAACAGGAAAGCTTCAACCATAGGCCCTACACCGATTATGCCACGTTTCACTGAATGAAATTACATAACTTCAACACTGCTGCCCTTTGATGTATAATAAGCTTCATGAAAATGTGGTACAAGCATTATATTAAAGTACATTCATCAATCTGCGATCGTCACAAAAGACAGAAGCTCAACCTGATCTTAGAATCATACACCTGGGCCTCGTCTTATAAAGAGTTGATATTGATTGCAACTTCTTTGTGATTGATATAAATTGCAACTATTTACATAGGAGATGGGAGAATGTAGACTTGTGATTGATAAGAGGACTTGCGAGATTTGGATCGATCACGTCTCTCTAAAAGACGGGGCCATTGTTTACATAATCACATTAAACTGTATTAGTACTCAAGGTTATATTGATTAGACAGATATCAACTTCCTATGAATTCAGTTTTGATTATTAGTACCTGAGAGAAAACAAAAACACACTCTTAAGTCTTAACAGATCCAGATAACAATGGTATGGTTTAATAGTAACAATATAACACTTCCAAGTGAAAATGTTCTTATAACCCTGAATACAAGTCAGGATGTGATCACTATTCCCAACTTATTGATAGAATAGAGGATAATAACAATAACAAACTTGAATTTATATTTAGCATGGCTGCCATTACAGCACTCAAGAATTTTAAGGAATTAAATCCTGCCAGGTACCCATTTACCTCAACTGGACGGATTGGGCCAAAAGTAGATTAATATCTTGCCAAAGGACATAGAGTGCTGCAACAGGGATCTGTACCTTGTGGTTCACACTCCAGGAGACTTCTCCACTGGACCACAGCACATCTACAACTACAAGCATCAATCATACCAGTTGCTAGAAACCAGAGGCAGTCTTTATTTTGTCACAAGAATCAACATTCATTATAAAAAGTATATATTGCACACCTACATTATTATAAAATACTACACCTAAAATTGTATTTACCTTTAATACACAAGTTCAGATCCACAAAAACACAGTGGCAAACATTTGCAAAATATTGCATTTGATAATTTAAAATAATGATGGCTTACATACATGTATGCCAAATTACAATCCAATCTGTTATATTAGCTATTAGATAGAACATTAGTCAATGCTTGCAACTGTGTTTTGCCAATATACAAATGTACATATACTGTATATATACCGGTAAGAGAGAGAGAGAGAAAGAGAGGGAGAGAGAGCACAGACTAAAGGTTGAGAGAGAAAATAAAACCAGTAATATTTGCAGCATTACAAATTAGAATCCTGTAAATGGGAAAGGGATAGTAACTCAGAAAAGTTGACATACTTCTACGTCGTCCCTTTTTCCTCATCTTCGCTTTCTATATCTTCTTTTGTTTTGAGGAAGAGAAGTGGGAACATCCCAATGAAGCAACCTATCGCAATGCCCACAGCACGTGCCTGAATATAAACACAATGGAATACAATTAGAATTAGTGTTACTCGTAATACAGATGATTCAGCAAGTTGACATGTAACTTCGACAAACTAACACTTAAGGAGAAGGTTGAGTTCTGGGGAGAGGTGAAAAATAATTTGTGAGCATTTTTCATTGTTATTATGTAAGTGTGGAAGAACATCAGAGGAAAAATGTTCCCTTAAAAGCATGGCTCTTCAATTGCCGGCTCTTCAAATGCCTGCATATTTTAAATAAGACAAGTAACAGTTTAAAAATGAGGCCCAAGTTTAAAAATGAGGCCCAAGTTTGAAAATGAGGCCCAAATTTTATGCCAGATGTTTGTGTAGTTCCATATACATTTTCTATGTACTGTACAGTGCTTGTTACTTTCCCAAAACTGGGCCAAATTTCTTATCATTTTGATGACTCCAGAACCCTGCAGTACACAGTACACACCAATACATAAATGCTAGATGATCAACCTTTTCTGATCGATCTCACACTGTTTCTTTCACAATGCAATCACATGACAAGAACTCAACTTTAAACCTTGCTTTTCTCCCTGAATATCCATTTGTGCAAACTTTATCCAGTTTTAACCCTAACCGTGACAATTCTACTAAGTTCTCAATTGACATAGTATCTTATATACAAAAGACAGATATTTCCCACTCATGAATCAGAACCAGAAGATTAATTAATTCTCTGTTACCGGTAAACAAACTAGTTCCTATAAATAATGGCGTATTTCCAGCATTTTTTGTATGATGACTCTATAACTATCCACTAAAGGATGATTTTCTGCATACATGTGTATTAACACCAATTTCCAAAATGGCTTAAACAATGACTCTTCAAAAGTTTCACGTCAAATTTCTTTGATTTGAGATGATATAAAGATACTAGCAATACTAAGTTGCTGTGAGGTTTTCTCCTCCTGAATGTGATATGTTAAAGAAATAAAATGAAGAAAATAATTAAGATACCATCCTGGGACATGAATTCTAACAATGGCAACCTGCATGTGAAACCTACATGTAAGAGGACTGTGGGTTTACGCTTTCTCCAAGCGAAGCACTGAAAATAATGTGTCAGGAGTCATCAGGGTGGAAGGGTCATAGCGAAAGGGAGTGTATAGCCGTTATCTAGCGTACATTCCGTTTTTTAAACTGCAACTCATTGGGAAGGCATGGAAAGAATTACATCATAATAATAATAATAATAATAATAATAATAATAATAATAATAATAATAATAATAATAATAATAATAATAATAATAATAATAATAATAATAATAATAATAATAAAATAATAATAATAATAATAATAATAATAATAATAATAATAATAATAATAATAATAATAATAATAATAATAATAATAATAATAAATAATAATAATAATAATAATAATAATAATAATAATATAATAATAATAATAATAATAATAATAATAATATAATAATAATAATAATAATAATAATAATAATAATAATAATAATAATAATAATAATAATAATAATAATAATAATAATAATAATAATAATAATAATAATAATAATAATAATAATAATAATAATAATAATAATAATAATAATAATAATAATAATAATAATAATAATAATAATAATAATAATAATAATAATAATAATAATAATAATAATAATAATAATAATAATAATAATAATAATAATAATAATAATAATAATAATAATAATAATCTTTTAAAGTCCACTCCATATTTGTTTAAATTAAACCGTAAATGGAAATTCTTTTTGCCCAATTGATTGTGAGCCCTGCAGCCACTGAGCAGCGCCAGGATAACAGTATGAGACTATATTTAACACTTTTCTTTCCATTTTTCATTATGCTTTCAAAACTGAAGAGAGTATTAAAAGGCAAAAGAGATATGCTACATACCATACTAGCAGTCCATCTGATCTTTGTAAGATCCTGTTGTTCAGGGGTGAGTACTGGAATCTGTACACCTATCTTTGATACAAATGCCTCTACAGTACCAGCCAATCTATAACGATACAAAAAAAGATATATATATATGCTTTGTCCATGTACTTATTATAATATAGAACATTCATGTTGCTATAATATGGCTAAACAATAAACAATCTTTTTCTATTTCTGCAAAAAGTATGTAAATGCTACCATGTGATATACATTTCTACAACAAACTAAACTCTTACAATCAAGAGAATCATTCAACAACAAAAAAGAACAAATAATACATTAGCTGTGAGAAGCCTACGTAGACAATAATAGGTAATCAGCCCACTAGGCTTTGTGATCAAACACCTGGGGGGTGTTTCACAAAGATCTTAAGTTTAACTTATCTCTAAGTTGGACTTAATAATTGTAGAAAGCCCTTAGCATCTATGAAAACATTTTGTAAAAGATATTTTAAAAAGAAGAAATATTGATTCAAATCATTCTTATTTTCTATTATCAAGGTGATTTCATGTTCTTGATGTCAGGGGTGATAGTGTGCACTAAAAAAAATAAAGTTTTTTTGTTTTCCCCTGAACCACGCCCCCCCATTGAGTAAAAATAAAAGAAGGGGATTCGCGGGGGAAAAATGGCATCCAACATCATTCCCCCTTTTCGAGTAAGAAAATTGGGACAAAACATGGAATAATAGAGAAAATAAGAGGGAAATCGGGAAAATCAAGATAACATAGGGAACATTAAAAAAAATTAGTAAAAAAAAAAAAAGAAAAAATATTTAAGCTAGTGGTAAAAGGGTGTTGTGAACCCACACCACACCACTCTCTGCACTCTTCTCAAACATGATAACCTCCATCTGCCTCCCACCCCCTCCCCTACACACAGGTGTTATCTTATATGAACTGGTGGTAAAAGGGTGTTGTGTACCCACATCACACAGCTCTCTGCACTCTTCTCAAACATGACAATCTCCCCCTGCCTCCCCCCTCCCCTACAAACAGGTGTAATTATATATCAGCTGGTGGTAAAAGGGTGTTGTAAACCCACATCACACTGCTCTCTGCACTCTTCTCAAACATAACAACCTCCCCTGCCCCCCACCCCCTATAGACAGGTGTCATCATTTATTAGCTGGTGGTAAAAGGGTGTTGTTAACCCACATCACACCGCTCTCTGCACTCTTCTCAAACATGATAACCTCCACCTGCCTCCCCCCCCCCTACACAAAGACGTAATCATATTTCAGCTGGTGGTTAAAGCGTGTTTTAAACCCACATCACACAGCTCTCTGCACTCTTCTCAAACATGACAACCTCCCCCTGCCTCTCCCCCCCCCCCCCCTACACACAGATGTAATTATATTTCAGCTGGTGGTAAAAGGGTGTTGTAAACCCACATCACACAGCTCTCTGTAATCTTCTCAAACATGACAACCTCCCCCTGCCTCCCCCCTCCCCCTACACAGAGGTGTTATCATATATAAGCTGGTGGTAAAAGGGTGTTGTGAACCCACATCACACAGCTCTCTGCAATCTTCTTTAACATAACAACCTCCAACTGCCACCTCCCCCCTACACACAGATGTAATCATATTTCAGGTGGTGGAAAAAGGGTGTTTTGAACCCCATCACGAAGCTCTCTCCACTCTTCTCAAACATGACAACCCCCCCCCCCCCTACACGCAAATGTAATCATATTTCAGCTGGTGGTAAAAGGGTGTTGTGAACCCACATCACACAGCTCTCTGCAATCTTCTCAAACATGACAACCTCCCCCCTACACACAGGTGTTATCATATATCAGCTGGTGGTAAAAGGGTGTTTTGAACCCCATCACACAGCTCTCTGCAAACTTCTTTAACATGACAACCTCCAACTGCCACCTCCCCCCTACACACAGATGTAATCATATTTCAGCTGGTGGTAAAAGGGTGTTGTGAACCCACATCACACAGCTCTCTGCAATCTTCTCAAACATGACAACCTCCCCCCTACACACAGGTGTTATTATATATTAGCTGGTGGTAAAAGGGTGTTGTGAACCCACATCACACAGCTCTCTGCACTCTTCTCAAACATGACAACCTCCCCCTGCCTCCCCCGTACACACAGATGTAATCATATTTCAGCTGGTGGTAAAAGGGTGTTTTGAACCCCATCACACAGCTCTCTGCAAACTTCTTTAACATGACAACCTCCAACTGCCACCTCCCCCCTACACACAGATGTAATCATATTTCAGCTGGTGGTAAAAGGTGTTTTGAATCCCATCACACAGCTCTCTGAACTCTTCTCAAACATATCAACCTCCAACTGCCACCTCCCCCCTACGCACAGATGTAATCATATTTCAGCTGGTGGTAAAAGAGTGTTGTGAACCCCATCACACAGCACTCTGCACTCTTCTCAAACATATCAACCTCCAACTGCCATCTCCCCCCTACACACAGATGTAATCATATTTCGGCTGGTGGTAAAAGGGTGTTTTGAACCCACATCACACAGCTCTCGGCACTCTTCTCAAACATTACAACCTCCCCCTGCCTCCCCCCCCCCCTACACACAGATGTAATCATATTTCAGCTGGTGGTAAAAATTTGTTGTGAACCCACATCACACAGCTCTCTGCAATCTTCTCAAACGTGACAACCTCGCCCCTACACACAGGTGTTATTATATATTAGCTGGTGGTAAAAGGGTGTTGTGAACCCACATCACACAGCTCTCTGCACTCTTCTCAAACATGACAACCTCCCCCTGCCTCCCCCCTACACACAGATGTAATCATATTTCAGGTGGTGGTAAAAGGGTGTTTTGAACCCCATCACACAGCTCTCTGCAAACTTCTTTAACATGACAACCTCCAACTGCCACCTCCCCCCTACACACAGATGTAATCATATTTCAGCTGGTGGTAAAAGGGTGTTTTGAACCCCATCACACAGCTCTCTGAACTCTTCTCAAACATATCAACCTCCAACGGCCACCTCCCCCCTACGCACAGATGTAATCATATTCCAGCTGGTGGTAGAAGAGTGTTGTTAACCCCATCACACAGCTCTCTGCACTCTTATCAAACATATTAACCTCCAACTGCCACCTCCCCCCTACACACAGATGCAATCATATTTCAGCTGGTGGTAAAAGGGTGTTTTGAACCCACATCACACAGCTCTCGGCACTCTTCTCAAACATGACAACCTCCCCCTGCCTTCCCCCCCCCCCCTACACACAGATGTAATCATATTTCAGGTGGTGGTAAAAGGGTGTTTTGAAACCCATCACACAGCTCTCTGCAAACTTCTTTAACATGACAACCTCCAACTGCCACCTCCCCCCTACACACAGATGTAATCATATTTCAGCTGGTGGTAAAAGGGTGTTTTGAACCCCATCACACAGCTCTCTGAGCTCTTCTCAAACATGACAACCCCCCCCCCCCCCTCCCCGACACACAAATGTAATCATATTTCAGCTGGTGGTAAAAGAGTGTTGTGAACCCCATCACACAGCTCTCTGCACTCTTCTCAAACATATCAACCTCCAACAGCCATCTCCCCCCAACACACAGATGTAATCATATTTCAGCTGGTGGTAAAAGAGTGTTGTGAACCCCATCACACAGCTCTCTGCACTCTTCTCAAACATATCAACCTCCAACTGCCATCTCCCCCCTACACACAGATGTAATCATATTTCAGCTGGTGGTAGAAGGGTGTTTTGAACCCACATCACACAGCTCTCGGCACTCTTCTCAAACATGACAACCTCCCCCTGCCTCTCCCCCCCCCCCCCCTCTACACACAGATGTAATCATATTTCAGCTGGTGGTAAAAGGGTGTTGTGAACCCACATCACACAGCTCTCTGCAATCTTCTCAAACATGACAACCTCCCCCCTACACACAGGTGTTATCATATATCAGCTGGTGGTAAAAGGGTGTTGTGAACCCACATCACACAGCTCTCTGCACTCTTCTCAAACATGACAACCTCCCCCTGCCTCCCCCCTACACACAGATGTAATCATATTTCAGCTGGTGGTAAAAGGGTGTTTTGAACCCTATCACACAGATCTGCAAACTTCTTTAACATGACAACCTCCAACTGCCACCTCCCCCCTACACACAGATGTAATCATATTTCAGCTGGTGGTAAAAGGGTGTTTTGAACCCCATCACACAGCTCTCTGAACTCTTCTCAACATATCAACCTCCAACTGCCACCTCCCCCCCTACACACAGATGTAATCATATTTCAGCTGGTGGTAAAAGAGTGTTGTGAACCCCATCACACAGCTCCCTGCACTCTTCTCAAACATATCAACCTCCAACTGCCACCTCCCCCCTACACACAGATGTAATAATATTTCAGCTGGTGGTAAAAGGGTGTTGTGAACCCACATCACACAGCTCTCTGCAATCTTCTTTAACATGACAACCTCCAACTGCCACCTCCCCCCTACACACAGATGTAATAATATTTCAGCTGGTGGTAAAAGGGCGTTGTGAACCCACATCACACAGCTCTCTGCACTCTTCTCAAACATGACAACCTCCCCGTGCCTCCCCCCTCCCCCTACACAGAGGTGTTATCATATATAACCTGGTGGTAAAAGGGTGTTGTGAACCCACATCACACAGCTCTCTGCAAACTTCTTTAACATGACAACCTCCATTTGCCACCTCCCCCCTACACACAGATGTAATCATATTTCAACTGGTGGTAAAAGGGTGTTTTGAACCCCATCACACAGCTCTCTGTACTCTTCTGAAACATATCAACCTCCAACTGCCACCTTCCCCCTATGCACAGATGTAATCATATTTCAGCTGGTGGTAAAAGAGTGTTGTGAACCCCATCACACAGCTCTCTGCACTCTTCTCAAACATATCAACCTCCAACTGCCATCTCCCCCCTACACACAGATGTAATCATATTTTAGCTGGTGGTAAAAGGGTGTTTTGAACCTACATCACACAGCTCTCGGCACTCTTCTCAAACATGACAACCTCCCCCTGCCTCTCCCCCCCCCCTACACACAGATGTAATCATATTTCAGGTGGTGG